TATTCTCTAGATTTCTTATCTTATTCGGGTCAACCAATCTAGATTTTGCTAAGTTTTTATGCTCAGCTAGTCTGACTGCCCCTGTTCTACTAGTTTGACCTATGTATTTGACCTGACAATCATCGCAGGCAGGGTATTAGATAAACTAAATTGTTTTGTTTTAAAGGCTCCACAGGATTGATCCTTTAACGGACAAAGCTTGTTTCTAATTGAGTTTGTGGGTTTGAATGCCATCCACTTTTATTCCTGTCATGTTGAGAATTCTGCGTGATGTTTCCGAGGTTCCTTCCTTGTATGGAATTACTACTGATGATTTAGACTCTTTATTGTTGGTGTCGTCATCAATATTATTATTATTGTCACTATTACCATTATCATTATTATTGTTATTATCACTATCGCTATTATCATTATTTATTTTATTTTTACATTTCCTTACATATTTCCTGACTAATTTATCCGGGTAATTATTAAGTTTCAATGCTTCTTATATATGTATCAGTTCTTGGTTTAGACTTTCTTTGGTACTACTTAATTTTTGTGCTCTGTCATTTAAACATTTCACCAATCCTATTTTTACTGACATAGGATGGGATGATCAGAAGTCCAAATATCTGTTTGAATGTGTGGGTTTCCTGTAAACACTAGTGTTTACTGGGAAGTTAAACACTAGTGTTTACAGGAAACCCACACACTCAAACAGATATTTGGACTTCCACTCATCCCATCCTATGTCAGTAAAAATAGGACTGGTGAAATGTGCGTCGGTGGCACAGCGGTAAAATGCTCGCCAGCCACACAGGCGGTCCGAGGTTCGATTCACGTCCACAGATGCACTCATTTACCTCACTAAGCCAGTAATAAGACCGGCAAAAGAGGGAAGGTTGGGCATGAGGCTAGTAACTCTATCCCTTAAAAATAAACACCACTGCTACAGAAACTCCAAGCGTTTAGCTTGAAGCCCTATGTTCCACTGGGAACGTAAAGGGATGAAAAAAATTGATGTGGTGACTTGTAACCTATTAATTTGATCCCGCCTATACCAAAAACTGATGGACTAAACTTACCACTTGATTGATTAAGCTTTTGGTGGGAAATTAAAATCTGTTCATCAGTGTAGAGGAATCCGATGATGATGGACTATTTGAAGTGAAGAAATGCATATTTCTTCGCTCAATCGGTTGCTTTTTCGACAGCTTTTACATCGTATTTGGAAACAGTGTGGACTATTTCTAAAGGACAATCAAAAGCCTGTTTTTTCTGCATAAATAACGCATGTTAGTGTCACTCATTTTTGTATGATGAAGATTTCTTGAAGTTACATGGGATTACTCGCTGCTGATTTCAAATGAATGGGAATTCCCCCGTCTGTTGGTATGTGTGCAGCTCGTTGGTAAATCCTGCTGGTGTCTTCAGATTAACATGATTCTAGTAAAGAACAAATCTTCATTCGGATATTTAGGTTGGTTCATTATCCTGCAGGGATAAAATCAAGGGACAAACAAGATCTATTCGTAGATCTGTTTTAGCACACCTCGCAGTAAGTGAGCATGAAGTTAATATTAATAAAGCATTTGGAATTACTTAACACATTCCGATCAATGTTATTTTTGATTTATAAAGTTCGTCATCTACATATAGCAGAGGCTGTTGGAATCCACCTAAGGAGGTCAGACTTGTGTGGGTTTGGAAGAAATTACAGCGGCCATTTTCCTTAACTTGTCCTCTGCTAACTGAATGTGAAAAATTGATAATTTCTCCCTCATTCTGAGAGTTTTACAGGTTATCATTACCTGAATCACTGTATCTCTTCTGACTGCTTCATCTTAGATTACTTTGATTAAGTCATCAACTTGAACACTCATTTATTTCTAAATAACACGCTCTATTGTATTACGAAATAATGCATTATGCATTCCACTTGCTGGAACCGTCTCTACCCTCAAACTGTTTGTATTAATTTTCTTGGTCAGTTAATAATAATAATAATAGCTTTATTCCAAACAGTATTTGTGGTACATGTATGGAATTTTCAGCGTGCATTACAATATTGCATCTAATTACCTCATAAATTTTTATAAGATTTTAAAATTAAAAGCAACAACAACAAAAAGAAAAAAAGAGAAATAAAAGAAATAAAAAAGGACGGCATTGCATTCACATATTTGAACAATGCAACACAGGATATGAAATATAAAATTAGTCTGTAATAGAATATGTGAGCAACAATATAATAGTAAGAAAGAAAGGAGAACAAAAGCTAATGGGAACTATTTGTTAGAGTGCCGCAGTAAGTTGATCGTGTCATACCTAACAGATTTCTCATCACATAACAGCTGTGCCAGATAAGGTATTGTGGAGATTTTGTACTTGTTAGTCCTAGCATATAGCCTCCTATAGTTGCTTCTAGTTCTACCAAATGAAATGCAAGGAGAGAGCTGCGTATGGAGAGGGTGTTCGGGGTCTGACAATATATTATTCGCTAGTTTCTTACATGACATTATATGTCTATCCACAATGGCGTTAACCAGTTGGTTTAACGAAATCCCACTTGCCCTACTAACAGCTTTTAGTGCCCTACGCAGCGAAGCAAAGTCTTTCTTGAGTAGTCCAGGAAACGTTAATGGGGAGCAGTAAAAAGGGATGGTTAGAATACAAGAGTTGACAAACTGAGAAAGCGAAGACTGCTTTGTACCAGACTGCATTAATTTCCTGACGTAGAACGTTAAGCGAAACATCTTTCTAGTAACTAGCAAGATGTGAGAGGACCAGGAAAGATCGGAGGAAATACTCAGTCCAAGGTACTTGACATTAGATGTACTTTCAACCTCTATGCCGTCAATGATAGTGGGACCATGTGAGCTAGCTAGTTGTTGTAGGTCACGTTTTCGTCTGAAAGTGAAATTTACTACCTGACATTTAGACGGATTCAACTTAAGTCCGTTTGAAGAGGACCACTGACTAATTTCCAAGAGAAAGTTATTTAATTTGGAACAGTCTGACTGAGAGTTGACAGGCATGGAGACAGAGAGGTCATCAGCATACTTGACAGGGTCATACTGACTAATTATTGTTAACAAACTTGTCACCACTAGATTGGTAAAGTATTTTTGTATTGTAGTCGAAAATACTCTGTATGTCATATATGTTAGAACCACGTTCACCTATAATAGTTTGAAAAAAATTTGGGCATTGGATATATATATGGTGACACTCATTATTACAAAAAATCTATTTGTATTTCCCAATGAATGATAAGCAAAACGATACTGTTGTTTTTACTGACGTTTCGCTATTTAATGCTGCCCCTAATAGCTTTATCAAAGTATTATTAGACCAAAATTTACAAAATCTCAGCTTACATATAAAAACTTATTCATCATTCCTCAGCATGGGGGCATTTTTCCATTGTCAAGTTGGACAATTAGTAAAGATATCCAGGTGTAGATTGTTGGATTTGATCAGTATGAAAAAATGTAAAAGCAGCATATTTATACATAATGAAATTGCTTATCACATTCGTGTTCGTTTTGTCATTTCATGGGGGATGGAGGCGCTGTAACCAGGTCAAATCCTATTTTAGTCCATCATTTCAATTCAGACAATTCGCATTCCATATAATATATGAAGTGCTTCTGATGATGTTAGACGTTCTTTGTGACTTCTCAAATTTTTCTGTATTATTTCAGTACTATCAAAATCAATTTTGTGGCCTGATTCTATAGCGCAGCATGTAGACGAGCTATGGCTGATGATTTTTCAAGCTTTTCTAGTTCACTCACTGGATTTCTTGGTGGTCGAACAGATGCTCTACGGTGTTCATTTCTGATGTTGAGCTTATTGAGTACCCTTCTGATACTGTCTGACCTCTCTACTGTATATGGAATGACAACTGTTGGGGTTCATGTTTTCGAAACACGTTTTCAACCATGCCTAATGTCAGTGTTGATTTTGTTGATGAACTTCTTTGGGTAGTTGTTTTGCTTGATAGTCTAAGTAATGTTTGATATTTATTCTTCTTTTTCTTTCTCATCTGTTATCTAAGAGTGCGCTCGTCTAAGGAGACTTGAAACAACTGATACCTTTGCACTCATGGAGTGTGATGATCCGAAGCCTAAATATTTATTGGAGTGTGTTTTCTTCCTGAATGTAGACATACTTAAATGTCCGTTTTCCCTCCTCTTAACTAGCCAGGTGGTCTAGAAATGGTAGTTCACCGAAATCTGATAAAGCTTCCGAAGTAAAATGGATTCTGGGAGATAGATTGTTTATTTTCTCCAAAAAATAAACTGTGTAGAACTCGTTTTATCACTACGAAAGTATCATCTACATATCTTAACCATATTTTAGGAGTGAGTATGCTTAAAAAGATGTTATCTTTGGATTTATTCATGAACCGATTGACGACTATTGGGGAGACTGGTGAACTCATAGCAACATCATTTGTCTGTCTATATAAATTCCTTTAAATGTAAAATAATTACTTTCTAGACAGAATTTCAAGCTCTTAATTATTTCACTGGTGTCTAGTGGACATCTTTATGATAGCGTTGTATTTGATTCTAGTTGACTGGAAATGTTTTTCATTCATTGAGAAATACAAAAAACTCTGTATATCAATTAGAGTAGAGCCATAGATGAGGATCTAATGGAAAAGTGAATATTTACTCGTTCAATCCTTCTATCTCCCCCACATGAGTCCCCTCGAGAAATGATGACTTCCAGTGAAATTCAGATGGCTGACAGATATTTAGATCCAACCGATGAATCTAAATTAGGACAACATGCCTGCATATTCTGGATTCCACTGTCGGTGAACTTCAATCAGAAAGGTGGCGAGATGAAGATTCACCTTTGTGAAATCATCAAAGGAAGCAAAAATAGAAAGTCATTTTCAATATAAACTTCTCTATTTATATTGTGACAAAATACTCTGTGTAGGAAATGAATCAACATGTATTATTTGAGATGAAATTCAATCCAGTTTGTGTGAATAATAATCAGTCGAGAAGAACCTTCATCTTTTCAATTTGTCCGACAAAAGCCATGACATCCGTACAACTCTCGTCTTCTGCTTTCACAGGTAATTGCGTGTATTGTGTTTCACTGGGAGATGAAAATAATAAACACGTTAATAGATGGGGTGTGTATTCTCAAGTGAGATGAGCAATCCGAACAATTTTAGTCATTTAACCTTATTGCTAGAATTGACAAGGAATGGAAAGTGTGATGATGCATCATGGGGATTGAATTACATTGAGTTGAAGAAGGACACGTCTATATTTTGGTAAATGTTTTTCTGTGATTTGAAGTTTTTGTAGAGATTGGATTGATTTTGCAGTATGGGGTTGCTAGTTCAACTCCAAACGTTCCTTCTATTTCCTGGCTTAGAAGCAGTCAGTGATCTAGTGAACTAATGGACTTATTATATTATTATTTTTCCCTTGGGTTCCGAGTGGAACATAGGACTGGCTTTAACAAAACATCTCCACTTTCTTCTATTCTCTACCATCCTCTTCAACTGGGTCCACGATTGCCCAAAATCTCTCATTTCATCCTTATACGATCTCCTTCATGTCACTTTAGCACCGACGACCCACTCGTCAGTTCCCGTTTGGAATACACTCGAGTGATGGCCTGCATTGAGCGCAATCGCATTCGATGGCACCCTCAACGTGTGCCCGATCCATCCCGATTTTCTCCTTCATATTTGTTGAGCGATCGGTTCTTGGCTGGTGTCTTCCAACTCGGAGTTTCTCGTTACTGATTCTTTCTGGTTGGCTATTCGATCACCAGTATGCAGCCAGAGAATTTGGCAGCTGCTTGAAAAATTCTGTAACTTGTTGGAAACGCTTTTCGTGACACGCTGGCCACGTTTCTGACCTGTATAGAAGCACCAACTGACTGATTTTATATTGGTGATGAAAAGCAGACTCTTGTTCTTTATGTTGACTGTAGAGGATTTCTAAACTAGTTTCAGGTTGATGGAGCCGTATCTTGATTTTCCAATTCTCACCTTGAAATCTTCACCCGTTCCGCTGGCCTGTAGTTGAAACAATGGTTCCTAGATAAATGAAGGAGGCAACGTCTGATAAATCTCTCTCGGTGATAGTGATTGGTGCTGGTTGTTGTTGCTGCTGCTGCTGGTCATTACTTGCTTATCGTCATCACTTCCGTCTTTTCTATGTTTACCTGTAGTCCTGTCTTAATTGGACGCTTCTTCAACCAGTTTGTTAGTTTTCGCCTGTAAGTCTTCGAGTTTATGTGACATTAGACATATATCATCCGTGAAATCAAGATCTTCCAGAGCCTTCTCATTGGTAGCTCAGCGTATTCCTGACTCCTCGCCCCCCATAGTCTGACACATAATCCAGTCCACCACAGTTAGGAATATCATCGGTGATAATAGGCAGCCAGCCTTGTCTTACTCCTGTATACACTTCGAACGTCTCGCTGAGTTTTCCGTTGTGGATCAACTTACACGTGGCGTTGTCATATAGCCAGCTGTTGAATGAGGTTGATAAAGACTTGAGGGACACCATAGTGTTGAAGTATGGCGTTCCTCCTCTGAGGAACAAGATTCGTATTTTAACCACTAGTGTCATGTCAACGATTTTCTATGATTCAGAGACTAAGTACAGCATGAAAAGCATTTCCAATAGGCTACTACAAACTTTCATCGACAGCAGTCTTCAGTCAATACTGTAGATTTCATGAGAGGTGAATAAAGGATAAATGAGAAGGAAGTCTGGTTACGTGCTGATGAAGTGCCTATCCAGCAACAGATTTGTAGAGGTGAATGGACATGCATTGAACATGCTCTCATGATACTGTTGTGTGGTATCACACAGTTGGAAACCACACAAGGAACGAAGAATCGGGTATGGATTGAAGAGTCATGTGGAGAAGATCGTGTGAGGAGGACATAGGAGCATATCGACCAGCTGTAAGAACAGGATGAAATGGAGATGTGCTACTGTAGCCCCGTGTTCTCCTCGGAACTCAAGGAAATAATCATTGGTTAATGGAGGATTGTATTTGTCATTGTTCAATGTCGTGTATTCTAGCCACTCGAAGAATATGCTAGTCTATACTTAGTATTCCTTATAACCTTGATCTAAGTTCCAAATGTTTGAATATTTAATCACAGTTCTTTCACTAGATGATGATTGTTAGGAAGAGGCGAAACACATGCAATTATCAGGTCATTATCATCTCTCAGTCAAGTTATTAACAAGTCGTTGACATGCAATTGTTCTTGCTTCTGATTGGACGCTTGCACAATTCAAACTCTCAACCGGATTGGTTGATTTCCAGTCTACCTTATTTTCTGTATAAATACAGTCACTTTTGTCATAATAAATGAACCTGGGTTTACCGTTGATTCTCTTCGTGTTCTGCTTTACCAGTTAAGTGGCCGCTGGGCAGTAGTTAAGCAGTGTCCTGAAGACAAAGGATCCAGCATCATAACAATGATAAACACCAAGGCTAATATTTCTCTGTGAATGTTCAATTACACTATCTACAACACAGCCAGTTGTCTCACTGAAGCGGATCGATGAGTATTGTTCAAATGGTTACGTGTTATGCTCAGATGAGTCAGTCTAAATAGCTCTTAACTTAATTCCTCTAAACTCGCCTTAACCGACTTTCCGTTGGAACAGATTGTAGCCATGTCATGTTGTTCAGGTTCCCACTGACTTGCAAATAGGATTTCTTTGCCCACACAATAGAGAATTAATTAATTTCAGTGGCTGAGGAGATTTGTGGGTCTGTCGATCTTAGCGAATTTCATATCAGTTGTATTTGTACTGCTCAAAATCGAAAATAAATGGGAAGCCTCATAAGTACATTGTGAGCTGATATATATATATGTCGCATATTGAGAACCTAGTGACGTAATTGGAAAATTTTATTTTTATTAGGGATGTGTAGATGCCGTAATAGTCATTTGTGATAAACCGACAGACTCCATAGAAATCGTAAACCAAATCAATAGAGTGCAAAACAGTATATCACTAACATACGTTAAAGAGAGAATAATGATTACTTGCCAATTTTAGATGTACTCATAAGCCACCGAGAAGATGGGTCAGTAAAACGATCTGTCTACAGAAAGTTCACATGGACGAGGCAGTATCTAAATTATCATACTTTCTGCCCACTACAATTAAAAAACCGTTGGTTAAATGTTTGTTCAAACGCATTCACCGTATACGTACTGCAGATACAACTGAAAAAAAAGACAACACCTCACTGAAATATTGTTTGATAACAATTACCCATTGAGATTTAATAGGCGTTACGGAAGTGTCAACCAAAGAGCTCTACCAATCCAGGCAGCTCCCAAAAAGCGTGATCAACAAAGTCTGAACACTAACCAATGACTCAAGGTGGCAATTGATAGAACTTGTTATGCAGGTAAACTTATCTTCATAGAGAAAACGAGAATTATGTTGTTCTGTGGACCCTCACAGTATCCGAACGATAGTGTCACATCCTATTGTGTCTATGAATTTACACGTATGTGTGGACACACGTACATAGGGAGGACTCATCGGTTTCTGCAGGTTAGGGCTACAGAACAAATTCCAAAGTGGCTGCAACAACAAATAAAATCGCCAGACACAATTGATCCCGGAAATAGATGTCCAACATCATCTATAGCGAAGCACATTATAGAGACGGGTGATAAGGTTGATTTCAACAACGCCTTTAAGCCCATATATAAAACAAGGTTGAGTCACATACTTAAATTCGTTGAAGCCTTGGCCATAAAAAGACCTAAACACGTCTTATGTGTCCAAAAGTTATTTGTTATTACTTTAAACCTGCCTTGGTTATCCAATTTAGAACCATGGTTCAATTTACTTCATAATATTTTCAACCCTTTCTTTGCTTTATTTTTCTTTTTCACCCTTACCTTTGCGTCATCTCCCTACCCATCATTTGTGACCTTGAACTGCACACAATCTGACTTGCACTGTTTTACGAGTTGATCACAGACTGATATCAGTTAGAGAACCATTGAAAACCAGGGAGTACTGGACAGCTGCTGTTTCATCCTAGTTTGGGAATCATCGGCAGTATGCACCCACTGGGATTCGAACCCAGGACCTTACGGTTACAATGATTCATGCCTTCTTGCATTCTATAAAACTGTATATGACAAGTACTCGTATATGATCAGAATGTCCAAAATGTGTTGTGTAAATACATTACACGTTTCAGATAAACTACGTCTTGTTATTGTCTTGTCGAAAATAAATCGTTGTAATGAATTAGTGTTATAGGAAAGAGGAGAACTACTGGCTGCATTGTGCTGAGATGGTGTATGTGGGTCGTTTCGTCACAATCCTCCGTCTAGTCGGGCGATGTCTGGTATCATTAAACCCTGGTGGACTAGCTTTAAGTGACACTGAAATGTCTGCTGAAGACAAATATCAGTCAAGATAACTGGCCCCATGAACCCTGTCTCCTAGTAAAGCCAAACAAACAAAACGAGTTGAGAATCTCCTATCGAATGAAGTAATGAGATCATTGGACTAATTTGCCAAAAATAAGAGAGAATATGAAATATGCATATCATTGATAATATAGAAACATCAAAACTTACGCAAATGTTAGCTGTTCACTATCAGGTAAATGAGAAGTACACTCTAAGGTGAGTCGATTGAAGTACTGCAGTTTACCAGTATTTTGATTGACTGTTTCCAACCAATTCTCTATATTAAGCGAAATATGAGTACAATTATGAGTTCATGAGTTACATGAATAAATCACATGCAGAAATTATTATTTTATCCTTTATGGGTGATTGTTCGGTCACCTGGATAATTTAAGCTCATCACCTCAGTCAAATATTCATAACAGCTTAGGTCTTAGAAATGTTGGCTGTCTGAGATAGCGGTGACCTGCTTCAAACGTGGGTTATCAAACACCTCATCCACTAAATTACACATAATTTCTCTTGATTTAAATATGACCTCTAATAGTATTGTTCATTCTCGCAAGTATTTAAAACATTTACAAACTGGCCAGTTTCTACTGAACTTGAGGGAAAGGACAATCATCGGTGGTAACATATTTCAAAGAAAGAAGCAACCTCCTTCGACTACCTGCCTACCTACCTACCTACTTACCTACCTGTGAAGCATCGTTTCAACTACAGGCAGACAGAACTGATGAGGATATCAAAGCCAGGATCGAGAAAGTAAGGCAAGCTTCCATCTATGTCAAGTCTGTGTGGAGGATATCAACAGCATTCAGCATGAAAATTCAGATCCGGAGTTTCAACGCCAATGTGAAGTCAGTGCTAATTAATGTACGGATCAGAGACTTGGCCAGCGCATCACGAAGGCCACTTCGAATGAACTACACACCTTCATCAACAGCTGTCTTCGCTCAAGATCAGATGGCCGGCCAGAAAAGATCAGCAATAGGGAAGGGATCTCTGACAATGAACGAAACATCTCAGTACGAAATAACTGTGCAACAAATATGCAGGGAGAAATGGGGGTGGATTGGATTTGCCATCGTCTGAGAAAGCAGACCATCAAGTGAGTGACATCACACGCCAGGCGATTGCTCGAGTGGAAGCCGAATGGGAAGTGGTGAGTTGTTCGTCAGTGTGAGGGTGGTGTGACATGGAGGAGATGATGTGAAGAGGAGATGAAAGCATATTTGCAGATATGGAGCCAGGTGAAAACGTTGGCGGAGAACCGAACTCAATGGAGACGTTTGGCTGAAGCCCTCAGTTCCTCTAGGAACTAAAGGAGACTATAATAATATAGTAGTCTAATAAACTCGAATAATAATTCAACGATCCTCGTTGATATCTCATCACAGCTGCTCATGACAATAATACCAATTCATATTCCTACACTACATTAGATGGCTGATTCCAATAGGGAAGATGCTAAAAGAAACGCACTAGATAGAGAAGTACTACTCCAATAATCGTCACTACTGAAATCCAGATCTCAATGATGATTTTTATTTTTTATTTTTATTTTGGTTACAGCTTGATGCCTTACCGTATTTTCAGTACAATTATGGCATTTTCAGCATGGATATCGGTAGCCCAAATTTTGCAGGCCGACCATAGATATTGGGTGTGCGCCGACAGCGGCTCGAACCTCGGACCATGTGCATGGTCGGCGAGAGTCCTAACCACTTTGCCACCGACGCACACGTTAGTTAGTTAGTTCTATTAAATTTATTCTCACTTACTTTTCAAATGTTCAACTAACAATAAAGAGTGTGGTTGGAATGCGAAACCATCAGGGAAACAATGCATTGGAACATGTTGCCCAGAATTTCTTATAGGGAAAAGACGAAGTCTGAAAGTATTAAAAAAAACATACATCCCATTTTCGTCAGTTTTGTTTACTTTAACGATAATAATGTCACAAATAATAAAAATTATCCAGTGTAAACACACGAAATATGCAGTCAAAATTCCTGTCAAACGTTTCTTCTTGATAAAAATTCAACAACATTTTCAATTCATTTTGAGACGATATAAATACACAGTCAATCTCAGGCCTTCATTCGTCATTGAATGAGCGTCAAATACTGGTTACGTCTTGAGTTAAGGATGATGATAGAAAGAGTTGAAATGTGACTAAGATATTACTCTTGAAATAACACAACCCAGTTAACCCAAATTCTTGAAATCCTCACATCAACATTCTCTAGTAGACAGAATTAGAATAACAAATGCTGGCTAACTCCTTGAACGATAATCCCCATTGAATATTATAATTGTTGACTTGAGTTCTGAGTGGAATATGGGGCTTAAACAAAACACCTCCACTGTGTTCTGTTCTCTGTTGTCCTCTTCATCTGGGCGCACGGTTGCTCATAGCCTGTCATCTACTCTTCGCATATTTTACTCTATGTCACCCTCGTATCGACAACCCACCCATTGTTGCCCATTCGGGTTCCACTCGAGTGATGATGGCGTGCACTGTACGCTATGTCATTCGACGGCATCCTTAACGTATTCTAGATCCAAGTCCATTCTCTCCTACGCGTTTATTGAACTATAAGCTCTTGGTTGGTTTATTGCCAGAGTTTTCTTGTTGCTAATTCTTTCTGGCCGGCTGTCAATTCGATCTTCAGTATGGATCCATCGAAGGCAGCTGTTGACAAAATTTCTCCGTAGCTTGTTGGAAATGTTTTAACGTGACATGCTGGCCAAGTTTCTGATTTGTATAGAATCACCAATTGACTGACTTTACATTGGTGTTGAAAATCAGAATCTTGTTCTTTATAATGTGGAGTGCAGAAGATTTCCAAATTGGTTCCAGGTTGATGAAGGCGTATCTTGCTTGCATTTTATATTCTGGCTGGCTGACTGGCTAGCTTTGACATCTTCATCCGTTCCGACTTCCTGTAGTTGAAACGATGCTTCCTACATAAGTGAACGGAGTGCTGCCCTTCAAGCTTCTCTCGTTGATAGTGATTAGTGGTTGTTGTTTCTGCTGTTGGTTGGTCATTTGCAACACCTTCGTCTTCTCTATGTTCACCTGAATTATGTCTTGTCTTCGCTGTCATCTTCTTCAGCTAGAATGATGTTATTTGCCTGTAAGTCTTCCCCACAGTGTCACACTAAACATAAATCGTCCGAAAAATCCAAATCTTATTCATTCCTCTAATTAGTCCGTAATATTTTTGTTTTCTCACTCCCATACACAGTCTGATGAATAATCAAGTCCACCAAAATGAGAAAATACCACCAATGACAGTATATAGACAGCCTCGTCTTTCTCCTGGATTCAATTCATAGGCTTCGCCGACTTTTCTTTCGTAAATTGCCTGATATGCGGCATTCTCATATAGCTGTTGATTAAGGTGGATAAAAATTTGAGACACCGCACTTCATATTGTCGAAGTATTTCGAAATTACTTCGTGGTCAACGCTACCGAAGGACTTTTCAAAGTTGGTGAATTTGCGATAGAGATTTGACTTCCATACTTAGTTCGATTATGATGTGTGGAGTTGCAATTTGACCAGTACATTATTTGACTTTCCTGAATCAAGCTTGTTCCGGGCGGTGTTCTGTATCCAGTGCATCCTTTATTCTCCCCAGGATGATGAGACTTAGTATTTTATTTGGCGTTGTCAAGAGCATTATTCCACAACAGGCTTCGCACAGACCTAAGTCTCCCTTCTTTGGCAGCTTGATAAGGTAGCCACTCTTCCAATCGACAGTGACCCTTCTTCTATTCCAAACCTGTTGCAAAAATGGCGTAAGCGCATCTGCCGCAGTCTCTGGCTCCGTTTTCAGTGGTTCGGATTAGGGGAATTCCGTCTGGTCCTGCTACCTTTCCAGACTTCGGAAGCTTGATCGCATCCAGGATTTCCGCTTTCGTTGGAGGATTGGTGTCCACTGGCAGGTAGTTCTGTGAGTGTTGTCAGTGATGATGGTATTTCTGGGCCAGTTGCAGGTGAGGGTGGTCGATTCCAGAGTGGTTTGAATTGGTCAGCCCATTGTTTTACTTGTTTCTTCTCCTTGGTAATCTCGTTCTTCTGATCATCTTTTTATTGGTTTCATCATCTGAGTTGATCTATTCCCGGACAGACTCCTGGTCATGTGATATAATATCCTGAAGTCTCTTTTACCTTGGGACTGTCAATTCTGCTACGTTTGAAAACCAACGTGTAGTTGAATTTTCTTTTGTCTCTCCTAGCACTCTTCTTCATGTCTTTCTTGATTAAGTGCAGTGTACATTGAACTCAGCTTCTCCTTCTGTTGCCCATCTTTGCATTGAGTCATCTTCTCTTTCACCATCCTCCTCTCCTCTCTTCTATTGGCTTCCAGGTAGGTGTCCGGTGAGAGGCGTTCTTTGCCATGTCTTTTCTTTCGTCTCTAGAACTGTGGTACACGTTACCATGAACATCACATTCAGAGAGTTTTTCCTAATGTTCTTCCATGCAGGTTTCCTCATTCATGCCAAATAATGTCTTCAAGTTTGCTCTGATATGAGCTGTAGTGAAGGTATCCCTTGTAGTTTTGTACTTCAATCCAGTTTCTGAGTGTTGAACGTGAATTGCAGCCTGTCTCCAGGTGTTGTGAAGAGGTCTGCGTCCTGATTTATTTCACTGAGCCGGAGACTCTCGACCCATGATGAGTCCTCTTCCTGTATCATCTGCTCCCAGTCCGAATTGCATTGGTATCGCCCATCAGGATTTTGAAGTCACCATTCGGGATGTTGTCCATTACTGTTCGCATTTGTCTATAGGAATCTTCTTTATTCTCTTGTTCCGCGTTGTTTGTAGGACTGTGCGTAGCATTGGATAATTGTTACCTTCCTTCCTTTGGAGTTGAATCTTGCTGTCATGATCCTTCAAGAGGAGATTGGTTCCCATTGCATAAGAGGTTTGGTTGATGTTGGTGCCAACACATAGCCACTCACTGTCTCAGTGTGCTCGTGGTTGTCATCTGAGTGACCACACCGGAGTAGATTACTGACTCACCAGTTGACAATTTTGACAATCCGCATCCATTCCATCTGCTCTCGCAGACGCCCAGCAATTCTATGCCATATCTTTGCATCTCTTTGGCTATCTGGGCAGCCTTCCCAACTTCGTACATTGTATGAACATTCAACGTCCCGATGCTCACATTTGCTTTCGTCGAAAAAGGACATCGGCTGGCTGACTGGCTTCGCGAAGGCATTCACCAGCTCACTGTTTCATGTCGCCTCTTCGATTCCAGCGAAGAACAGGTTTCTTTTTTAAATTTTTTATATCTTTAATGTATTTCTAGTACGTTGTAGTTTCTGTGGCAGTTTGATTGGTTTTGTGGGGTAGGATAGCTAGCACCACGCCTAAGCCTCTCTATTTTCAGCCCCGGAACCAGCCACGAAACTAGCAGGTTAGTGGACAGGAAGCCTTGCACCTTGGTTTCGTGCTAATTGTCACTCACCAGTCAGATAAGCGTATCTGCAACTCTGAAGGAGCTCATGTCCCTTCTGAAATTCGAACCGTGTCGCACGATGCTGCAGTCAGAGACGTTAATATTGAGCTATTCCGGTTAATTAAACTGTTATTCTTTTCAAAGGGGAACATACTAACTCACCCATTCATGTAATCTTCAAGTCGTGATAAATTCACCAACGGTGCAGTACGAATATTCGATGCTTCCATATCAGGAAAATTGACTACATTCGCCATCCGCTCTGCAAGTTTCATCCTATGCAATAATCAGAATGTCAAAGTAAACTAGATCATCGGTTTGACAATGAAACAAAATAAAACGTATTCACAAAACAGCCCGCTTTTAGATCCAACCACTTTTCGATGATATTCGATGGAGAATAGATTCTGACAGTCAAGAGTTTCTGAGATCATTGAGATTCCAAATCACTAACACTCAATCAATTCCATGAAATATGTATCAAATTTGATGTCCTCATCATTAAGAATAATAATAATTTGCTTTATTCCAAAACAGTACTTGTGATACAGAATGGAATTCCCAGCATTTTTTACTACAGTATTGCATCCAGTTAGTACATTATCAATGAATAGAATTCTACATAGATTAGGGAAACCACAGCTCATTATTACAACAACACATTGGCATGTCGGTAGCAAAGGTAAAGCTGAAACAGTGTTTGAAGGTGTTAAAAAAGTAGATGCTATCATATATACTGGGATAAGCGGAAGAAATAAACAAAGCAGCACATTAGAGAAAAAAGAGAGAGAAAAGGAAAAGAAAGAAAGAAAATGTTGTACCTATTGATGATGTGAGTTGGAAATACGAGGTCCAGTTGTACTACTGACTATTTAATGAATTATAGGTGTCACGCCTAATGCTTTCTTTATCGCACAGAACACGAGCTAAGTAGGGTATGGTTGAGTTTTTATACTTGCTAGTGCGAGCATATAGTTTTCTATATAGGCTTCTGGTTTTACCTGATGAGATGCAAGGGGAGAGTTGTGAGTGAAGAGGGTGGTGTGAGTTAGAAAAAATGGACTTGGCCCATTTCTCACAGGAGTCCATGTGCCTGTCGACCAGAATATTAACAAGCTGGTTAAGTGGCACGTCGCTTACCCTGCTGACAACCTTTAACATCCTGCGTAATATGATGTTATAGTCTTTCTTCAGTAGCCCGGGACAAACTAAGGGAGAACAATAGAGAATAATAGGCAGGATGCGAGAATTAACGAATTGTAGCAGTAAGGGTTGGGTTATACCAGAATGTTTTAACTTCTTAATGTAGAAGGTAAGACGGAATATTTTCTTAGAAATTGCTAAGATATGAGACGACCAGGAAAGATCAGCAGATAGAATGAGGCCTAGGTATTTAATTTCCGATTTGGTTTCTATTTCAGTGCGGTCGATGTTGCATACCTCGTGAGAGCCAACCAGTTTGTTTAGGTCGGATTTATGCCTAAAGGTGAAATTGACTGTTTGGCATTTGGAGGGGTTTAGGGTAAGACCATTTTCCTTGGACCACTGGCTGATTTCTGACAGAAAGCCATTAAGTTTGGAGCAGTCACTTTAACATTTGATGGTGAAAGTCCTTCGGAATCGGGTGGAGTTGCTTACACGTCCAATATCAGATCGCGACATCATCATCAGTCTGCTAAACACTTGACACCCTATAAAATTTCACATGACCCATATTGACTTACATTCACATTTCATATTCTACCGCTTGATTTCATTTTACACAATCAAACAGAACATCACAGTCAGACAGAAATAAATGGACGACACAAGAATGCTGGTCAATTCATTCACTCACCGATTTCGATAACCCAATCGACGACAATCACGACCATATATGCAAAGAACATCGTAAACAAACAGTGCGGGTTTTTCTGATCCAGTCTAAAGTAAAATGATAAAACAAACGAGTGAAATCAATCGAGAAATACATCCATTCATTCCACAGAAATGATATTTACGACGAACAGACTAAATGATAAATGTGCCTACACCAAGAAAACCTGGTACAAGCTTTAATGTCTGGTGACCCTTGTCAGCAGTCATTTTTCCGTAGAAACCTTTACAGTCTCTGTTAGATAGCCATGAAAAAACTAAGAAACTTGTAAGTGTCACGTTATTTTTTTACTCCTTCACGTTCCCAGTGAAATATAGGGCTTCAAGCTACAGGCTGTGGTGGTGTTTATTTTTAGGGGATGGGGTTGCTAGCCTCATTCCCAACCTTCCCTCTTCACTAGTCATATTACCGGCTTAGCGAGTTCTGGGAGTGCCAGGTATCGAACCGCGAACGACATGCGTGGTTGGTTGGCAAGCACTCACCGCTGTGCAACCAACGTACATAACTCAGTCAACTGACATCTGAATATTACTGAGGATGGATTGAAGACACGCTAAGTGGACCATTGAATGACATTCCCTGTCAAGCTCTACAGTGGAAACCGAACTGAGGACAACGAGTAAGGAGTAGGTAGGTGGGCAAATTTGAGGAGATAGTGTGAGGCGATCGTGGAGCCAGCTAAAAGAGACGAAAAAAACAGAATACAGTGCAGATGTGATGATGTGGTCCCATATCCCACTGCTAACCTATAGGAATAATAATACTAAGAGTAACAGTAAAACTGAAAATGCTACAGTCTATCCCAAATTTATGCTTTTTCCGATTGGCAAATCAATAGAATCTCACTAACACTAAAACCTTCACCTGTCATCTTAACAGTAATTCACCAAAACCAAACTCACCTTCAAACAAATCTCATTAATTGCTTGTCCCCAGACCACCGTTGCAGCTGGGAGTCGAGGTTGTAATCCTGGTATCATTTCACTTAAATTCGCCCATTGATAACCATCCACAGTGCATTTCTCAAGCTGAGGCTAAGTAGAGAGAAAAGGTTAAGTGAAGCAGAAGACAGTTATTGCTAGAATTAGGAAACTGTGAAAAAAGTGACCGATTCGCAGTGGCACCGCTTTGCCGACAACTACTAAATCCTGTGTTTAAAGGCATTTTGAGAAACTGTCATCTACTTTAATGCACATGCTTCGTACTTCAAAAGAAGTCGCTCAAAGTGGATCAATTTTTTATTCCTTTACGTTCCCAGTGGAGCATGGGGTTAAAAACTAGAAGTTGGAAGTTTCGTTAGCATTGGTGTTTATTTTTACGCGACGGGGTTGCTAGTCTCACGTCCAACCTTTCCTCTTTACCAGTCATATTACTGGTCAAGCGAGATAAATGACAGCGTCAGTGGTTGGGGATCGAACCCCGGACCACATAAGGCGTTGTTGGCGAGCATTCTACCGCTGTGCCGCCAAAGCCATATCTAAATAATGTTATGCGAATATGTCATATATTTATTCTCCTTCACGAATTTGAATAAAGCAAGAGCAACAGTGGTTTGTGCAGAATAATATAGAACCTTGATGTATTTCGTGGGCTCCTCATCATCTGCTCACAGACTAAATAAATTTTTATTAAGTTCATATACAGAAACGTTTTAGCATACTTGCAAATTTTACTTGATGTCAGTTGACAGGAGGTTCCGAACTTAATGAACAGTGTTCGAAAAATTACGCTTTCATACAGGCAGTTCAAGTTTAAATAAATTAACTATATGCATACAATGGTAAAGGAGTTTAGTAATGCAGACGGAGGGTTCGTAAGATGTCAAGTAACTAATTAATTGGGTAACATTGTCCCGAGTTCAATTCAAATCATAGAAACAAGAAACAAATGAAATTACACTATATCAAATTGCGCCCCTCCTTTGATACAGTGAGGTTAACGCGAAAGATTACGTAGTCAAGTGAAAGAAAGGAAAAATGCATCCAGTTGCCAAGGCAAGGAAAGACTGACTGATAACTGCTTCTTTCTGAACACATAAGTCGAGTTTCAAGCGGTTGATAGATATTGCTTCAGCAAACGTGAGAAGAATTCAGCTACATTTTCTATTGATAATTTTGAAGGGATTTGCGATTTCCACCTCGTGACTCTCATGAAGGAGATGCCTGCTTAAACCTAATTCGCAGTTTTCAATTTACAGAGAATGATGAGGTGAAATTTCACCACCACAGTGTCCTATGGGAATCAAAACTATGCTGGTGGTTTGAAGTGATTTGCCTTTCTTATCTGATTCAAATCAGACACACCGCAGATGAGGTTGACCCCCAAAAAGCGACATGACCCTCCGGGTTTTAGATCACTTCAACATGACTGGCATGCACTATTCATTGATGTCAATGGTGTCCAACTATTCATATTGACCAGTCAGTAACATACAGAGCATCAGGCATCTATGACGTGATATGCCTCCAGTTTGAAATCGACTTAATTATTCTGCCAGCACTACTCAAATATACTCTCAGACATTTGCAAGATCAGTGGCTATTCATACTTCATATTCACTGCTGAAAGTCATCTTATGTACTATGTGTGCATCAGTGGCAGAGTGGTTAGGACTCTCGCCGACCATGCACATGGTCAGCGACTCAATCCACTGCCGACCGACACTCACCTGATATCAACGGTCGGCCTGAAACATTTGGGCCACCGATATCACATGTTGAAAATTTCATACTTGTACCAAAAAATACGGTGTGGAATCAAGCTTCAATCAAAAGAGAAAAAGTATTTGTTATCCTATAGACTATTTGACAATACAGAAGGATGCAAGAAGAACAACGTTAAGTTATCAATTTACCCAACCATATCACTGATTACTATCAGTTTAGTGGAGCTTTTAAACCGGAATATTGATTCATCAGTAAGAAAAATCTAGGTGCATCCCTTCGTCTCATCCTTTGCATCATAATACTCAATTACACTTCCAAACATTGTAGCACTGATCCGAAAATCTCACCATGAACAGTATATTTACAATATGGATTCTTGATGGTATTAGATGGTTGGAGGCAATCAGCAGGAAGCCTTGGACCTAGGTTTCGCGCTAGTTGCCACTCACCGGTCAGCAAAGAGTATCTGAAACCTCGGGGGAACTCATGTCCCTTCTGAAATTCGAACCCGCATCACCCAGTGAGAGCTGCAGTTAGAGACGTTACCACTGAGCTATTTGGGCTCGCCGATTGCCTTCAACCATCTAACATCATCAAATCAATATGCACAGTGATGGCAAACTATTTAATGGCATGGTGACCACATTGCAAACTTGACAGACAGAATTCAGTCTGCACCAGAGTAAGGACTAGACACACCACACTAGGTGGTCACTAGTGTCCAATCAAAATATGGATACTTATTTCAATATTTCAAATAATTTTGAAATGTATACCCTTACAAACTACTGACCTGTATATTATTCTTCTAATATATTTGCTTATTTTCTTTCGACCTAGTCCTTACTATTTATACTGGTTTCGAGTTGATTTCTATCCCTAATTCTTATGTTATGTGATGGTGCTGATAATAGTGTTTTGTCTCACTCTTGCAATCTTATCTAAATGAATTCGGCATCACACGATGAAATGACTGTTTGACCTCTCCCAGACGGTTCAAGTGAGAGACGTGTCCTCTTCTATTTGATTCTAGCAGACAGAGGTTTTGAGCGACAGTGTTAGTGGATGCTGCTTTGATTCCCAGATATTTTAAGCTTATGTTTAGTCAGCTAATTTTATCCCATGTTGCGTATGTTTCACCTGCGAAACCTTGAAATGTACAGATTGTCCGTTGGCATTGTTGAGGTTTGTCTCCTTCGTTTGAGTTCCGAATGGAACTTAAGACTCCAAGCTCGAGATTTGAAGTTCCATTGGCGGTGATGTTTGTTTTACCATTTGTCTTCATCAGCCTTCCTAAAAGTTAAGTAAAGTGTGGGAATGCATTGGTGGGTAATCGAACCTGAACCCTGTATATGCTTGGTGAATGTCTTACCACTGAAAAACACCGATGCACCCCGATCTATTGGCAGTTCTGTATTCTTGATAAAGGTTGTTATTGTTCAATGTCATCGAAGACTCTATCAAATTGGTTAGCGTTTTCTTCTGAAATCGTTAGAACACGTGTTTTCACTGTGACTGACTGATGGAAGTTTGGTAAGCTATGCCAGAAGAGGACATTCATTGGTTTCCTGTGTTCAAACCGAAACGAGCGAGCTTTAGTCATCACTGACTTGTTTCAGGGGAAGATAAACACGACCAGTAGTAGACACCTGTCACTATGTATGCATGATTACTTCATGTTGTTTCTCAAAACAATCACTAGTGCGGATATTCTCATTATTAACTATCGATAAACGCTTTGAAAAAGGGATCAGTGTGTATTTTTGAAAATGAATAGATATCAATTATTTAATTGAATTCTAGATTTTTCTGTCGATTGATTGGACCGAAGTGCTCGGTCTCAGGTTGACACGTCGGCTTCTTGTGTAGATGCTTCAGCGATGTCTGTCGTGTAATTAGAAGTTAAATGGTGGACGGTGACTAGCAGTGGAATCCAGGACACTGCGAATTTCGTCCTGTTTGGAAATAGCAGTCAGCTGGATGTACCTGCGTTCCCAGTGAGTGATGATGTTCCCGACGAGGCTCAAACTCAGTGCCCATAGTTTCCAATGCAAAGCTTTATCCACTAGGCCACTTGGGCGAATCGACGAGAGAGTTTAAAATTCAATTAAATAATTAATATAACCAGTCTTAGAGGAGGTGATTCCTGCGACCCAAGTGGTCTATTGGATAACGCTTTTGCGTTTGAAATTATGGGCACTGGGTTCGAGCCTCGTTTGGAATTTCATCACTCACTGGGGAATGCAGGTACATCCAGCTGACCCCAAGTCCCAAACAGGACGAAATGCGCATTGTCCTGGATTCCGCTGCTAGTCACCATCCACCAATTTAAATCGATATCAAGTTGAATGAATGAGAAAGAATCAAGTAACATAATTCATTTCCATAATGTGATGCTTCATGACAATTCACTTCAAACAAAATACTCACCCGATGTTTCCTACCGTTTGAGAAAATCAACATCGGTTGAGCAGGTGCACCTGTTGAAGTCAATGACGGGCTGCCGCAAACCAATCCAATTCGACGCCCAGTAAAGCTCATCAACCTATTCATTATATCATGCGTTTTCCTCAGTGAAGTCAGTCGCATAGATGGATGATATTGGGCAGGTAGTGGTTCCTGAACAATGTATACATGAAATGAACAAAAAAAAACTAGACATTAAACCTTAAACATTCCCAATTTATTAATCATACCTGTCTGATAGTTTCATTAAGTCAACAAATAGTATCAATCAGTTTAAGAGTTCAGGCCAACCACCATAACGTCTACGTTTCTGAAAGTACGAAAAACGCCTCGCTTGACTGTTCTCGAACTCTCAATTAAAATTTTTCAGTGACCACAAGCGATTTGATTTAAAAAAAGGCATTAGAAGTACTTTAGACATCTTCAATGTTCTGCATTATAATACTGTTTCCAGTCTACATTAAGATGTGAAGTCTGTTCCGTCTTCCTTTCTAGGTAATACTGACACTTTTGATTCTGCTACTCGTGTGTAACAACAAAAGACAAGTTCCAGGCATCGAGAAAGTCGTTTATTCAGAAAATCCACAGATATTCATCGATTTTTAAGTACATTATTGTTAATGTTATTGTAAGCGGACAATCAACGTCTTCTGATTGGTGGTTTTCTTGCTGGAAGTTATTCTGTACTGTTTGTGACCGTTTCCCTTAAAAACTTAGGCTATATATCTGCGAATCGTATTTGCACACGTTAAGTTTGTTGTTACTGGTTGCTGAGTTCCTCGAGGTTAAGCGTTGGTATTGTTTTTCTCATAACCTCGATTTGGGACGTGAACATTGACGTAAATTGTTTTCTACAATTTTGGCTAGCGGACAGCTCTCACCATAAGTGTACTTTTGCTAAGCAAGCTAAATTCGCCACTCACTCAGCCCTGTGTCAAAAGGTGAATGTTTTGGTTCTTTATCAAGTGGCCGACGATACTAATTTTGATGGGAAGCTCTTCACTACTTCTTGCTTACTGAGACTGGTGTGCTTCGACGTGATATCCTCACTCCATAACTAGTTTGTTTTCTTTTTACATCACTAACCAACCGAATTCTCTTAAAGCCAATTTCATTAAATATGCTGATGTTCTGATAATGTCTGTCTGAAATGACTGGGCACTAGATTTTTTTGATATGAAAACTTTCCTATCTGAAGTTAACCAGTGGTCTATTTCAAATTATCAGACTGTTAATTTCATTTCAGGCGTGAAGGAGACTTGAGAGGATTAATTAAGTTCAATGATTCCTGCAATATTAACAGCATCATGGTATCAGTTTCTCTTCAAGTCTTAGTTAGCAATCTCCTATCCTCGTTGGACTCATGATTACACAAGGAAGTTGAGAAATTCTGTCATAACTCAGTCTCTTCTCTTCATTATTATTTTCTATTATTTCCTTGCGTTCCTAGTGGAAGATAGGGCTAGCTTCAACAACACATCTCCATTTTGCCCTATCTTCTGCCGTCCTCGTCAGATGGCTAGCTCCAGGATTGACGAAACTCTGTCGTCTATTCCAGCTCACACAATCTCCTCCATTTCACTCTCGTACCGACCACTCACTCGTCGCTTCCTGTTTGCATTCCACTCGAGCAGTGGCCTGGCGTGGGATGTGACTCGGCAGCCTCCTCAGTGTATGCCCTGTCCACCTCCACTTTCTCCTACATACGTGGTGAGAGCCGTCTTCTAGCCAAAACTGGTAGACAGCAATTCACATCAATGTCTACGTCTTAAATCTTGGTCATGAGGAGAACAAGAAAAAAGACTTTACGTGGGTGGATACGATTAGCAGATATACGGTGTGACCTGCAAAGAAACGGCCACAAAGAAATGACAGAACAATTTTCGGGTAGAATAAAACCAATCAGAAGATGCTATTTCTCTGCTAATAATTAGGAATAATAATGTACATAAAATTATATAAATATATCTTTATTTTCTCCATAAACGATCTGTTGCCTGGCCCTTGTCTTCTGTTGTTACACATATTTGTTGAGCATTCGGCACTTGGTTGGTTTGTTCTCATAGTTTCTTGTTGCTAATTCTTTCTGGCTGGTTAGCCATTTGATCGTCAGTATGATGGAGCCAGCGAGGGCAGCTGTTGGTAAAAGTCTACGGCGATATATTGGAAATCCTTTTCATGACACGCTGGTCAAGTTTCTGACCCGTATAGAAGAACCGACCGACTTCACATTGGTGTTGAAAATCCGAACCTTGTTCTTTATGCGGTGGAGTGCGGAAGATTTCCAAACAAGTTTCAGGTTGATGAAGACATATCTTGCCTTTCCAATTCTGATTTTGACATCTGCATACCTTCCGCCTGTAGTTGAAGAGATTTTTCCCAAATAAGTGAAGGAGGCAACCTCTGTTGAGTGTCTCCCGGTGGTGGTGATTGGTGCTGGTTGTTGTGGTGGTGGTGGTGGTTCGTTGGTTGCCTTCATCACTTTCGTCTTCACTGTGTTCACCTGCAGTCCTGTTTCCGCTGCCTCTTCTGCCAGTTTGTTGATTTTTGCTTGCAATTCTTCGAGTTTGTGTGACATTAGGCATATATCTCCTCCCTGGCAATTTATTAATTCATGTATTCCGTCTATTCTTCTCTACAGTTTTTCCCTTGTTGATCCCTCGGCTTCTCAAAAATGATTCTGTTCTCATACGTAGGACTTTGAAGGTTATAAACACACACCACAAATAACGTTCATAAGACAAGTACATACCGTAATCCGTAAGCAAACCAAATGTGGCAAATAACTCATTTCATAACTACCCATATTCCAATTGTATGAAGGTCAACCAGCGTAGATCAACCGTCGAAGTCTCTTCTCCTGGATATTCAACATTCCTAATTTGTCTGCTAACTTAATCTCACCTAGAATTTATGGATTCAATACTTTAATTGATTAATAGTTTACACGATATTTCCCAGTCTATACAACAAACCTGAGCATCCATAAAAGCTAACAAACTACGAGAGAGGATTCATAAGGTTGTCTCATATGTGATGGTGATTAGCAGTGCATACTTTGGATTTGCATTTCCAGCTGTTTGAGGCCCATCAGCCAGTAGATATACCCGCATTGCCAGTTAATGATGATATTCTCAGTGAGACTCGGAGCTTGCAGTCATCGTTTCAGAAGCCAAAGCATTATCCAGTAGGCTATGAAAGTCATGAGAACCACATCTTGTGCAATCGATTTCAGTCATTATTTGTTTGCTAGATAATTTATCAGTTATATCATGATGATGAGTTCCATATAAGAGGAAATGAGGCTCCTGGATTCTTCTGCTAGTCACTGCCAATCAAAATAACTTCACATTATTCGTTAGACATCGTCGAAGTGTCCGTAATAGCAAGTGACATACTAGACATCACTAACAACCCTAACTCCAGGAGGAAGTTGATTGAGGTTTCGCCAGGAATTCGTGGTCACTGTGATCCACTACGCGTTATCTATCTATCTGTCGCGAATCGACAGCAGTTAAAATTGATTTATAGGCCACTAGATTCCCTCCCAGTGGCTAAATGGTCAATTAGATCACCCAGTATCCTCGAGGTCCTGGGGTTTATCACTGTTAGGGATCATGGGTGTGAGCTGTTGAATAGTTCCAAATTAGAACGTGACAGCTACTCAGTACACCTAGATTTCCAATGGTCCTCTAACCCAAATTATTTCGTGATCACCTTTGGAATTCTTGTCAGTACACACGCCACAACAGCTAAGTCCTTTATGTTAAGCTACACAAATAAATGAGACGAAAGTAACACTATGTCATACAAAGTGAATTTCAGCTTCTCCTGTAATCTGTCCTGTCTATTTACATACAAGATGTGCTGTGTTCTCTTCAGCCGTAAACTTAACTCACCTCTAACAGAACTATGCCGTTATAAACTCCATCCATATGAAGCATTCTGTACACTCGTCAACGACTACTATCCTTTCATACGGGCACGTATTTCAATATTCATCTTACGTACATGCAAACACACATACATAAGAATGAGACTAAAATTCCTCATTGATGTCAGACTAGGCTACTTTCCATTGAAAAGTTACACCCCAGTGGAGAACATCTTCATCGTGTCAAATAACCTCATACAAATCAAAATCAAACCACAATGCACACTGATTTCATCTCAAATTGACATCAGTTGGAAAACGAGCGGAAATCAGGCAGCAGTTGACAGGCACTTTGCTATTGGTCATGAGATTCCTTAGCAGTGGGCAGACATTACTCTGCCAACGATCAAGCCTAGGAGACAATTCCAATCAGACAGTTCATGTTGAGATAGTCTCAAGAATTTGTCGTTTCAGAATAATGATGTGTTGCTACTCATTCGCATACTCACATCATAGACAATAGTAATTCCTTAGCTGTACAATCGCAAATATATATATATGAGTTATTTTGTATGCATGTGTACATTAAGTTTGTCAAGCGAAAATGCATTCGGTTATGGTTATTTCAATTAATTGGCTGAAAATTGGTAAGTTTTGGGTAGAGTTATATGATAGAAAGATGGTCAAGAAAATTGGGTGTTAATGCAACTAGAGTAGTGTAACAATGGTGATGAGTTGTCACAAACAGTTGTTAAAAAGGAGTTGCAAAAATATTCATTCAGACATCTATAAAACACAAAATAACCGAGCAAAGAATATTCTTTTCGATAAATTCCTCTTCCAGGCTCTACAATTATATACATGTTTATATACACAGAATATTTTAAATTAGTAGTTAATAACAATATTAGCGTTTTTTTTAAATAATATCGATTTGTAAAGTATGATCACAATGGAATTGCAGTTCATTAAAAATACTTAAATTATAATAATAATAAAGATATAACAGCGAATAGAATATCAACTAAAATTAGGGAAATTTCACAAAAATTCTGGATTATTCAAACCTGGATGGCCAGGGTAATGATAATGACTGAACTAACTTCTTTTGGGTGCATAAATTAGGCTTATTAATATGAATCCCCACAGCCTCAGCAATATTTAGAAGTCGAACTCTTAAAGCGAAATTGAGATTCGTAGGTATGCGGTAAATGACCCTGTGTTCTGTCTCCACAAGATGCGCCAGAATAGCGCTGCGAATAGATTTTGTTTGACGTTTGCTTAACCAGGTAGGGTGATGTTCGGAAATTCGACGAGAAACATGCCTAATTGTACGGCCTATGTAACTGGCTCCACAGGAGCAGTTAAATTGGTATATACACATGGAAGAGGCGAAATTAACCAGTTTGTCTTTTATTCCCGAACGCAGAAGAGGAGTGGTTTTGAAGATACGGCGCAATTGAGCAGCAGGGAATGCTCTTTTTACCGCATTTCTGAGGCGATGTGTTAGTATTTCACTTGTGTTGTCTCCTAGGAACTGCATCTGTAAGAACAAGGATTTCTTTCGAACTGTTGGTACCTTGGATTGTTTTGGTTTTAGATTCATATTCTTATCAATAAACTTTTCGGGATAACCATGCTCACTTAGTAACCGTTTAATATTGTTAAGCTCCTCATCAAGACATTCATCCGAGTTACGTAATAATATAAATAATTTGATGATTGAGCTGTACTCAGGATACATTTAGGAGCAATGCAGAGAATACGAAATTACGTAAGGGTTTTAAATGAATAGAAGAATTATAAGCAATGAAAGAAACAGGCGGACGAACAAACAAAATTAAGTCATCAAAAATCAACAAAGTTGTGACCATAACAGTAGAAGTGGTTGAGTAATTCTCTTTTGTATGCACAGCTCCGGTGTTTCTCTGTGAATGGCCAGGGCTTCAGAGATACAAAGAGGACGAAACTGTATTACTTTTGGTAGGTTATTCTTGACTCTGTAGATTACTTTGAAGCAGGAGGCGTTTGTTGAGATGCTTAGTTAAAATAACCATAACCACATGCATACAAAATAACTCATATATATATGTATATATATATATTTGCGATTGTATAGCTAAGAAAATGAATTCACCGCCGAAAAGTGACTCTTCGCTGAACTACGTGTTTTGTTTTCATTAATGCCCGGATGCGGATTATTCATGAAATAATGATTCCCACGTATGGTTAATCATTTCATCGTACAGTTACTGTTAACATGAAAACTGATTGACGAGGATTTGTAATTGACTAGAAAAATGGTTCTGTATAGGTATGCATTCACACACACACACATATACACCACCTTCGGATGAATAGCGAACAGCATGGGGGACTTAGACACGATACACAACTTGCTAATGTTGTACTCCCGTCAACGTAGAAGAAACACCCAAGAAAATAGTAACTTACAGAACAGGTGAGAAACTCATCAGTCATTACTAGATAAAGACGTAAAAGTTCCTCTGGACAGATTTCAGGCCAGTCAAACTCAGACTGATGGGGAATCTAAAGTCAACATTTTGAAGAGAAAAAAGACAACAGAAAGAGGAGAATGAATACGGTCAAAGGAGAAAGTACTGTCATAAAATATCGAAAACAACTTCAAAATATCACGAATTTCATAAAATGTCACTGTGATTTGTATGGTGTCATAGGCGGTAATCGAAAAAGTAAGTATATTCGCATGGAACTATGTATGATACGGACTGATTGAGAAGGATAATTGTGTACCACTGACGTCAACCTGCAGTGTTTGCGAGCCAGATCGAAGTGGTATGACATCAGACTGTGAACTGGTAAATTGCAAGTTAAATACAATATTCAAGTATTGGTTTGTAGGGATTTGATTGACTGGTTACAGGATTTCATCATGAGGTGACATTGGTTAGAGAACCATTGGAAAACTAACTGGGAGTACTGGACAGATGTTTTGTCAGCCTAGTTTGGGACTCTTCATCAGTACGCACCCACCGGAGCTCGAACCCAGGACCTTCTGGTTGCAAGGCGAGGTCGTACAATATTTGTGATCACAAAATTGCTAATAAGTTTGTAAATCCCGAACTCCATATATGGTGATATCAGTTTCCCCAAGTAGACAGCCAGAAAGTAGGTGTGGTTTCAGCTGATTCAGCCCTCTGTGCAGGAATGATGAACTCAGCTCCAAACCAGCGGAACGGCGATCGAACGTTGTGGTGACTTCGATCTAACCAGCAAACACTACTGGTTGATGTGAGTGGTATAGAAATATTATTATTTTACATCATTATTCCCTTGGGTTCCGAGTGGAACATATGGCTGGTTTCAACAACACATTTCCACTTTCTTCTATTCTCAGCTGTCCTCTCTAGCTGGGTCCACGGTTGCTCACAGTCTCTCATCTCCCTCATGTCACCATCTTGCCCACAACCCACTTGTCGTTTCTAATTCGGATTCGATTCGAGCGATGGCCTACATTGTGTACAATGTCATTCGACGACTTCCACAACGTGTGCCTGATCCATATCTATTTTCTCTTTCATCTTTGTCAAACGATAACCTCTTGGTTGGTCTGTTTCAGGCCGGAGTTTCTTGTTACTAATTCTTTCTGGTTAGCCGACTGGTTATTTGATCTTCAGTATGGATCCAGCGAAGGTGGCAGCTGTTGATAAAGCTCTGTAACTTGTTCAAAATGCTTGTCGTGACACACGCGCATTGCAAGTTTCTGACACGTATAGAAGCATCAACTGACTGACTTCACATTTGTGTTGAAAAACCAGAATCTGGTTCTCGATGCAATGGAGTGGGGAAGATTTCCAAAGTGGATTCAGGTTGATGAAGGCGTCTCTTGACTTTCCGATTTTGGCTGGCCGGCTGGATGGCAGGCTGGCTTTGACATCTACATCTGCTCCGACTTCCTGGGGTTGAAGCGGTGCTTCCTAGATAAGTGAAGAAGGTAATCTCTGCCAATTCTCCCCCGTTGATGGTCACTGATTTTGTTTGCTGTTGCTAGTGGTTATTGGTTATCTTCATCACTTCCATCTTCTCTGTGTTCACCTGAATTCTGTCTTGTCTTTGCTGCCAGCTTCTTTAACCAGTCAGTGCGTTAGTTTTCTCCTGTGAGTATTCACGTTTGCCTGAAAATAAACATAAATCATCCACACGCGAAACCCAGATCTTTTAGCGTGGCATACAATTACCCATCTCGATGAATGATTAGCCTTTTTGTGCTACTCTTTATCTTCATTATTTATGTACAAAAAGGTAGACGAAAAGTGTCCGACAACATTATCAAGCCTCTCTTCGATCAGCAGTTGAACTAGAGTGGATTTTATGCACAACTAAGCTGAAACACTTTCAAGCTGACTGACAGTCATCTGAAATTCACAGACACAATACTCGATGTGTAATTATTATCTATGTAACTGAACTATTGGAATACATTCTAGGTCTATTTCACAATTCACTTGAAACTAAACACTACTGATGAAGAGTCCCAAACTAAGCTGACGAAACAGCTGTCCAGTACTCCCAGTTAGTTTTCCAGTGGTTCTCTAACTGATGTCAGCTCACGACCGAATCCTCTACCCAGTCAAGCTAAATCCCTACGACACCAATACTTCAAGTTCATTTGCATAAATTGCCATCAAATATGAAGCATATTGTTCGCAGACACACACACACCCCCCTATAAACCTATGGTCGCAAAGCAATTATATCACATATGAATGCCATTCATAGTTAGCAAAGACAATAATATTATTCACTATCAATGAAAACAATCATAGCTCACCTTCCATTTCATTAAGCATGAATATGCTAAACCACATCGACTAAGTTCGTCAAGACGTGAATCTTGTGCAAATGCGATCACTTTAGACATCGCGATACACTGACGAATTATAATTCTGCCAAAAAGTAAAGAAAATATTTACATTCAACTTTCAATGACTCAATATCAACAAGAATATTTAATAACAGAAACAAACACTTTTTGTGAGAAGACAAAGCAAAAGTTGAAATCTACCTTGTCTGACACCACTTCGTCGATGAAATATGCGTCGGCAACAAATCAACCAAGAGCCCAGTCCTCAACAAAGATGTAGAAGAAAGTGGAGATAGACTAAGCACACCCTGAACAGGCCATCGAATGAAATTGCACACAATGCAGGTCATCACTCTAGTGGAATCCGAATGGGAAACGAAGAGTGGATCATCTGTGCGTGAGTGATATGGAAGAGATAGTGTGAGTTGGAGGAGATGAGAGATTATGGGCAATAGTGGAAGCAGATAAAGGGAACAGCAGAGAATAGAAGAAAGTGGAAATGCGTTTTTGAAGTTAGCCTTGTGTTCCGCTCAGAATTCAAAGGAACAATAATACGTTGTAGAGGAATAATCACCTGGAAAATCCCTCCTTAACGATTTATTCACAATATTGATACTGATTCGGATATTTCAAAGGGCTCGAAGGCCACACTTCGAACAAACCACAGACCTTCATCAACAGCCGTCTTCGCTCAATACTTCGTTCAAGATAAGATGGCTGGCTAGCAGGGATGAACAACACGGAAGGAATCTCTGGCAATGAACGAATCAACCCAGCAGGAAACAAGTGTGCAACAAATATGCAGGAAGAAATGGAGGTGGATTGGATTGGCCATAGTCTGAGAAAACAAACCATCAATTGAGATGATGTGAATAGGAGATGAAAGCAAATGGGCAGACGTGGAGCCAGACGAAAACGTTGACAGAGATGTGTGACTGAAGCCCTATGTTCCTCTAGGAACTAAAGGAAACAATAATAATAATAATTAGGATATTTCAGCTAACTTTGTTATTATCATTCCTTCCTCCCTAGGCTGTACTTCGTTGTTCTAACGCGTCTCTGTCACTTATTGACGTAAACCATCTGATATGTCCATGTTCTTGTTGTATCTGTACATTAAATGATTCTCTATGCAGTTGTGTGATATTGTTGAGACAGTATTGTTTAAACGAATGCGGTTTGGTTTCAGTGAAGTCAAGTTTCTGCTGTAGAAATTCGACCATGGTCTGTCATTGTGAAGTGTTTAGTATGTCTGCCATTTGCCGACAGAATTTTGATCTTTCCATGATGGAAATATTCCACTTGGTTTCCAGGTATTTCGCAAGGCTGTTTTTCTGTTTAACTAATAGTGTTGTAAAGTACTCATTTTGTACTTCCGAACAGCGTGGTTGAGGTAATTTTGAATTTTCCACGTCTCGTATGATTGTTTATTAATACTGCGGTGACAGCTGGCTGTAAAAAAGCCAAAATTGTGAACAACAGTTTACGTCAGTGTTACGTCCCGAATCAGGATCATGAGGAAATACAATAACAAATCTTAACCTTGGGTAACTCATTAACCAACCACAGCAGAATTAACATGAGCAAATACTATTCACAGATTTATAGCTTAACTTTCTAAGAAACGGCCACAAGCAGTACAGAACAACCTTTAGCAAGAAAACAACCAATCAGAAGACTTGCTTCTCCACTGACAATAATGTACATGAAAATCTATAAATATCTCTTGATTTTCCCAATAAACAATCTGTTGCCTGGCTCTTGTCTTCTGTCGTTACAATACCACAAATTGTATGACATGCCACTGTCTTCTTCCTATCACTGGAGCATTTTTGGACTGTGAAAAACTTGAGGAAGCTCGGTTAGCTATACAGAAGAACGCATCGATTGGATCTCACTCTGCCCTCAGATCAGAACACTTGGGCTTTCCTAGTGACATAGCTGTTTACCCATATAAAGATTAGATTCGTATAAATCTTAAGGAAATTGAATTAAGTAGTTTCAACACTTGGCTGTTCGGCAAAACTGGTCTGAACTTCTTCAGAGAAACAGTCAGAATTGAAATATCAAAAGTTATGCTTAGGTCAGGGCAGATCCTGTCTTTAACGTTCTTGTCTAATAGTCATGTCTCAGTCGTGAATAGTCATCAAACACAAAATAAATGAGATCAGGCCATGTTGAACTTGAAGCACCACCAACTACCAGTGAACTGGCTCTGCACCATTGAACTTGAATGGCCTAATCAGTTTTATTCCTGTGAGTTGAAGCTTTTATTTCGATTGATTCTAGTCAGATGTCTGCTCTAAAGCAGTTGCGTTTGCAATTTGATGAGGATCAAGTCTCCCAGTATTGTTTAGATGTGGGCTTGATTAGGAAAGGAAGGATTTGTTCATGTGGAGGTGTGATGAGTGAACAAAGCTTCAGCAGATCAGTTGATGGACATGTAGACCGTTGTGGAATTAATTTCAGACATTTTCTGCTAGGTCCCATGTATCAATAACCCAAATTTAGTATGTTTGCAATTACTGTGTTTTAGAACAGCCTGTGAGAGTTACAAATGGTGAAACAGAAAACAATATCATTTTGTTTTTCATTCATTGGGAAATACAAAAACCTTTATTATAAAGAAAACAGTCTCGTTTCAATAGTTCAGTGGTACCATCATTGAAGAAATATCGTATCCTGGAAAATGGAGAGGCTTACTTGCTTATTCGAAGGAGAAGATGTCATTGTACATTTACATGAAACTGTCTTACTAAGAAGAAAATACAACCGTGATCGAAAACAAGCGAATAATGTTCGGGTGATTGATTTACACGATACCTCTGCACGGCAAAGATTCGTCGAGAGAATAGCAGATAGAAAGTCAAGTACTTTATTACCTGTTATTACTCAACTGGTGAAACAAAGATCTATAATGCACACAGATGAATGGAAAGGTTATAACTCTTTGTCATCCCTTGGATATATTCACTATAGAGTCAACCATTCTAGTGATTTTGTGGATCCCATTACAAGGATCCATACCACTTCTGCCGAATGCTTTTGCGGAAGCTACGACAACCGGATTACAGCTATTAATGGATCACAAATTGATGTTATTTATAGTAATTTAGATGAATATACGCATAGGATGTGGTGTAACTTTCTATTGATACTTCTGTACTAAACTGAGGGATGCTTCTATCGCATGTGAAAGAAATATATCCTCTGTAACACTTTTATGCAGATTTTATGAATTTTTTTACATAAATATATGTATTCCATACCCAAAAATGTCTCCTTCATGTGACTGGTACGTTCAAGGTCAGTCACTCAATGATTAGTAGTTCGTGGTGCGTGAAGTTTAACTTTAACTTAAAATCACACATACTGTGATCAGGATTGTTGTATATACCACATTTTTCCAAAGCTTTAAACCCCTATCTTTATTTACAGTCCCACGGTGTTTGTATTTCTTCGAAACACGCTCAACTTGTGCCGGCTGAACCCTATCGATTGTTAACTGTTCTTACTTATCAATAAAATAAGTACCTCTCAAGGTTATTTAAAAACTTACACATTCGGAATCACTGTTGAATATTTTCGAAGTTGAATAGGGACGGTGGAATCTCTCATGTCAAGTGTCTGTCTTCTTTCTTACCTGCTTGCTTGAGTACTTCACATGTCCATGGTATCGTGTCGTGGTGGTTGTCATTGAGAATAATGATTGGAGCAGTAGGCTCACGAACCTACTAGGTGAGGAAGTGTATTGGCTCAAGAGACATGTAAACAACCAGATTGTATTGACTGCTAAATAACAGATATGATCAGAAGCTTCCATAAACTTATTGATCATTTGGTTATACCACGGAATAATCTCGTTGACTTAAAATATTTGGATGATATAGTCCTTCCTCCTAGGTGAAGACGCTGACAAGGTGCAGTCTTATGAATACCATGATTTGCAATCTACGAATGTTTGGCATGCGATTCGATTCCTCTGACGAATGTAAGATGATGTTACACGACTGGACTACACTGACTCCTAGCTTAGAAATAGAAGGTAAAGTGGTAGAGCACGTTGACCGCTTCACTTATTTGGGAAGTCGCAAGAGCCAACGCCAACGGGTTGATCGCTGACGAAATCTCAGCACGGATTCAGAAGGCTCATCTCACATATGCCAGTTTACGCCGTCTCTGACGTATACGTGATATCTGGCTAGCTACCCACCGAAGGACGTGTGAACTGCTCAGCACTCCACTCCGTCATCCTCTATGGCTGTGAGTGAGATATGGCCATTGAGAGTGGAAGACATGAAAAGGCCAGCCAGCTGTCTTTGATCATAAGTGCCTTCGTTCTATCTCCCGTGTGAAGTGGTATAGTAGGGTGAGCAATAATGAGGTTAGGCGTCGAGTACTATTTAGGCGGGAGGGGAAATCAATCGACGAGGCTGTGAAGCCACATATACTGAGATGGTTATGATATGTGTTACGTATGCCTGCCTAGACATCGCCTTCCTCGACAATGGGCAATGTTAGCAGACATAGTACCAATCAGGTTGAAAAGAGACAGCCAGTAGTGGTCAAACCAAAACATGGCTTCATCAGTCAATGAAATCCACAACAATTAGTTTGAGCCAGCCAGCCACGTAAGAAGGTGTAGACTTCCTGACTAGTTGGGGTCTTCGGGATGGTAAACACCAATACTTGCAGACAATTGGTGATATGGCTCCAAATCGTTCTCAGTGATGGCTAGCGCAGATGCATCCACTCCTTGGGACTTATAATTTCCAATAAAACTACACTGTTCTTCGGTATTACTCTTCCTTCTGACTCATATCTCTATTTACTGTCTGTATTTTACATTTCTGTTTACTTTCTTCCCTTGCTTTGTGTGCTACATGGAGTGTGACGACTTGAACTGCTGCACATCGGTGCAAAGTTCTATTTTGAAAACAGACAGACACTGTAAACACTGTGCTCCATTCACATTAGTCTTTAGTGAACAATATTCGAATAGACGTCACGGTGATCTGTTATTTGGTGAGGAAATGTGAATTGGGATAGTTGTGTATGTGATATACCATTAAATGTATGAGTGAACAAGTGTATATATCATCTGTCAGCATATTCAAAATCGAATAAAATAAAACGACGTTGATGTTTATTTCCATTGTGAGTGACCAGTGCATCACTTTAGGGTAATAAATTACAAACATCCATGATGAAAATATTGGCAACTTCAATAGGACGTTATTTCATTCCTTTACGTTCCCAGTGGAGCATAGGGCACCTGCAAGCTAGAGGTTTCAAGGTTTTGTAGCAGTGGTGTTTACTTTTACGCGATGGGGTTGCTAGCCTAATGCCCAACCTTCCCTTGTTTACCAGTCTTATTACCGGCTTGGTGAGGTAAAGGAGTGCGTCTGTGTCCGGCAAGCATCCTATCGCTGCGCTGTCGTCGCACTTGCTGTTTTAGACAATACAGATAAATAGTACAGTAAATGAGGCAAGAAGACTAGTCATAAATATACCTATTTATTTATTATTCAAGACTTGCCAAGCATCAACTGGCATCATATCGTCACCTGTGCTCAAATGTTTACGGTTCACTCACATATATATGTAAGCCGCTCCAGTCAATCTTTCTTTATGTCAACGAAAATCTTTTTGTTCAACCTTGATCCTTTCGAAATCGATCTTGTGTCCGAATTCTATCTAGTTTCTTCAAATCCACTGAAGCACATCAAATTATCTCTGGGAATTGTTCATGTCCTCTTATTCTTACCTGTTTGAAAGCTTTTCCTGCATACACAGTAAGTATCACAATTACCAGATCTTATTTCCTACAGGTAACTCGGAGCCCAGTTATTTGTGGAACTATTCGGTTAAATCATGATCACAGTTCGTATTACCTTAAAAACTTTGAAATTACATCACTGTGTACAACAGTTAGTCCTATCATCACCAGAAACAGACGTCAGTATTCAGAAATCTACTAATAATATGTCAAAGTAGATGCACACACACACACGCACAGACAAACATGCATAGACGTACTTTTCATTCATATTTCGCATGAAACGCATGAACTTGTCATCACCTTCCATAATTTCACTCCGACACATTCTTAATATATCAATCTTACAATCACGTGATGCCATTATATATTTCAATTTTTCACTGACTTGTTTAAGATACTTGATGACAAGTGAAAGTGGAGTTGACCCGTTTTTGTAATCATCATTAGCTCCAGCGTCATTCAAATGTGTCGCTGTTGTAGTCTTCATAATTCTTTGCTTTGTTATGGCTTCATTTTTACAGGCTTCAAATTTGTGTGACTTCTGTGAACCACCGGCCACTGTCTTCTGATGCTTGCTCACACATTCACGATCACAGTTCACTCGAGGTGGCGGTGAAGGTGGCTTGCAACCAGCCATTGAAGTCAGTTCCGTTCGTAGACTTCTGCATACCAATAATCTAAATCTAAATGACACACTAATAATAATAATATTAGTAATGATCTTCATTACAAGGAATATACCAAATTTGGTTTTGACTTATTTATTAAAAAAACAGAGGGGGGAATACTCAAAAGAAAAACTAAAATGGGAATTCTTCAGACAAATTTGTTTTCTGAGATTGTGTTATGGCGAGCTGGCTGACTGACGGACTAGTGGGTGACTCTAAACTATAGCAGCCCGAACCGAAACTACCTAGACAACGACGACGTTGACCAATCAGATGCGTCTATGCTAAGAGCGCATAATTTGACTCAAACTTTTATATAAAAGTAATGCAATGTTAAAAAATAGTTACAAAGGATAACGTTTTCGTATATGTTCTAAAAGAACCTCTCAATTTCTCATAGGAGTCTTCATAGTTATGTTAAATCAAGTCTAGTACACAAACTCATATCATTGTATTTCTTTATGCATTGACAGATATGATCCTTTTTTGAGGTGACTCCAAACACTTTCGATGGAATTAGTGTGAGTTCCATCGAAAGGATTGACGGAATCATTTGTATGGTTGACAATGTGATGAATATAGCCCAGGGTCAGTAGCTGGCTATAAGTGCTCCATTCATCTGTATGAATAGTTGTTCCAGGCATTACTAAGTGTTGGATTATGGGCAATAAGACATTAGCACTGCGATTAGGAATCGCGTCAATGCATCCTTTGCGGAGAGTGTAATGTCCTATATCCCTAACACCCACTGACGATTCGTACTCAATATACCTCGATTATATTTTCTTTTTATCATCCACATGAACAATGACGCCAACACCGCCACGTACTTAAGTCAGTCTGTTCATTGTTCTTGATGTTATGTCTCTGCAGTACCGGTACCATTGCACTGTAGACAATTCTGAATTTTCTATTTCATACGCTGTTGCTGTTACTGGTCTTTTAAGAACCCAGTTAAGACACATCATTAAGATTTTCGTTAGAGGTAACTCAGACTTCGCGAAAAAAGTACCCGCGGAATCTGTAAACTAAAAAAGGGTGGATTTTTGGTTCGGCACTCTTCGCACCCTGATGTTTTTTCTTCTGTTTTACCAGTTGGAGACCTCAGTAATAAACATATTTTTATATATGCATCAAGTAACGAAATTTGTGCACAGTTCTCCAGTGGTAGTTTGTAGGGATTTGATTGGTCTGACGGTTCATCACGGTCGATAACAATACGAGAACCACTAATATCCAAGATGGCACGAACATCTGTTTCTTCCTAGTTCGGGAATTCAGCAGTGCGAATCCATCAACTTACCGGGGAATGAATACACCACCGACAAACTAACATTTCAAAATTATTCTGACGCTTACTAGTGACTGACAGTAGAATGTGAAGTATTCTGGAATTCTAGTGAGAATTCATGAGCATTTCGGTTCATTAGATTGGGTGTGAGGACAAATACTCACTGACGACATTAGCCAGAGGTGGCGCTAAAAATCCCCGGTTTTAAAAATGCTAGTATGAACTAGCCATTGAATTCTGTCTCACTGGTTGAATGGATGCAAACAAGATGCCCTCGTTACCTAAAGATGTTGGATCATTGGTGTGTACTTCAGAAGAGTATAAGAATAGAACGAAACAGTTGCCCAGTATCACTCTCAGTTTTCACTGTTTCCCTAACCGATATCCATCTGTGATTGAACTTGTGTTCAAGGGCAACTTGAAAGCCATCTAAATAAAATATTCCCTTAAACTTCTCCACACATCACTTCCATAATCCGTGAACTCTATCGATGACAGATGTGATATTGTCCACCATCAGTGTTGCGGCCGGAAAAAATCTTAATAATCAAGTCCATTGAGCCACCGAATTCGAAAAGGAAATTAAGACAGTTTTTGAAGAGAGCGACGTTCTACAGTCGATTCGTGAAAAGCTTCAACAAAGTAGCGGCCCCGCTCTACCGGCTATTAGGCGAGTCAAAGTTTTTCTGGTCCGAAGACTCGCAGAGAGTATTTGACCGCATCAAATAGATGATGGATCACCAGAGAATGACGCTGCGACTACCGATACCGGGAGAGCCGTTCATAGTGTCTACTGACGCTAGCGATTACGGAATAGGTGCAGTACTCAGACAGGGTGAACATCAGCGAGCTCCAGAAATGGATAGAGCGAGACAAGCCAACGATGACGCCAGCACCAAGAAGATCAAGCCGACTTCAGTCCAAACTATTTGGCGGGGGGCCAAGTGTGGTGAGAGCTGTCTACTAGCCAATTGGTTGACAGTAATTGAGGTCAAAGGTCAAGATGGACAGGCGGATACAGTTAACATATTGATGAACTGATACAGCCACAAGAGATGAAAGGTTAACTTTCTGTGAGAAACAACCAATCAACAGACTGTATTTTCTACTAACATTAACCTACAATAATGTACATCAAAATCTATAAATACGTGTTGATTTTCCGTAATAAACGTTCTGTTGCCTGGCCCTTGTCTTCTGTTGTTACAATAACACTACCTTAAACAAGCATCTCCAATGAAACGGAATTGTTATGATATACTCGAAGCAATTTAGGTGCAATTATCACAGAAAGAATCACAATATTCCGTCTGATAATGAGACGTTCACCGATCACAGCAAAACTTAAACAGAATGATTCAAGAAATTATAAATAAAACTCAAAGCACTGCAAGTAATGTTCTAACTTATTCTTATTTGAAAATGTTTGTAGATTGTGAAAAGTCAGGAAAGAACTCAATGTATCACAACCACACCTTTCCTTAAAAAGCAAGTCATTTATCTCTCGACAGATAACTGAGGTCAAAACAAATTGATGAATATTTCAAACGTTGTTTCAATCAGCAAATTACGTTTCTGAATTCTACTGCACTTCACATCAAGCCATTCTGCTGTGCCAAACGAACGATCTATGGTCAGATGACACAACTCACAGCAGATTGCAGGACTTCCAAACCAACATTTGAAAGCACCATTCAGAGTAAAATATTTGATTTTGATGTGGTTGTGTCCTCTGAGCTAGCTGGATAGTTAAATTGGCGAAGCATTCACTGACCTACTAGGCAACATATTCAGCGAATACTTCAGATCGGTGAAGTGAGCTTTTCGAATTCTTCACGAGATTGTTAGTCACCTCTCCTTGTTGGTGACCTTGAACGTGTTTGGCTGTTTTTGTGTGTTTTCACACCCTCTAGGCAACGTGTATTGGTATTGGTGTGGATTGTTTCTTTGACTTGAACTTTGATCCCTTGTGTGTGTGATCTCCTTCTCATCGGTTAGTAGATTTTGTCTGTGTCAATTTGTCTATTGATTGATGATTCACTGGAATACCAGGCAGGCTTCGAAAGATCCCCTAGTATTCTTGGTGTTCCCTCTGTCCAACATTTGAACGATGGTTGTCCCAGTCGAATTGATGTCCGTGGAACACCAAGCATGCTAGAGAACTTTTAGAAGATTGCCTGGTATTCCAGTGAATCATCAATCAATCGACACATCGACATAGACAAAATCTACTAACCGATAAGAAGGAAATCTCACACACAAAGGGTCAAAGTTCAAGTCAAAGAAACAATTAACACCAATACCAATACACGTTGTCTAGAGGGTGTGAAAACACACAAAACAGCCAAACACGTTCAAAGTCACCCACCAGGAGAGGTGACTAACGATTTCGTAGAGAAATCTGATAGCTCACTTCACCGATCTGAAGTATTCGCTGAATATGTTGCCTAGTAGGTCAGTGAATGCTTCGCAAATTAACTATGCAGCTAGCTCAGAGAACACAACCACACTGAAATCATCCACCTGAGCAACAAATCTCCTGCATCATATCTAAATAATCTGATGTGAAAAGAATTTTCAACTCAGTTACAAATTGTATCTGATCTCAGTTTACCTGAAATGACTAACGTAGTCAATCATTCAACCTAATACACTCATTCTTGTCATGCATGTAAAATAATTCAGTTTTAGTTCCAGTCAACAATACTCACTCTCATCGAAATAATTCTGTTCCACGGTGTAATTCATCACCAACAGAATCTAGAATTCATAGGTCATTCATCATATGCTGAATAGTTGGCTGTTTGTCTCGTAATCTGTATGCCCTGCCAACGATTCACCATCCTCAACACTTCAAACTGCGTATATCAATTCGAGTGTGCTTGTGGAAGCAAATACGTAGGTCAAACGTATTGGAAGGCGATTGTCTACTCGCATGATGGAGCATTTGTCAAAATGGTTGAAAACAGCTGAGTGCAAAGTGCAAGAAACCTCAATAACATGATATCTTGTGAACTATGGACATGATATCGACGCTGTCAAGTCATTCACTATCGTCAGAAGACAAAGACACAGGAAGATGCTTGCAACTGAGGAGGAGGCTTGTGCAATTTGAGTTTATAAACCAGGTCTCTGTGTACAAAAAGAGACAGTTGTCACTCTGAATCTACCATGGTAATACGTTTTAATTATCATTCTACCTCTTATCATTATTGATTCATTTCAAACTATCTTTTATCAGTAGGATTATCTTAACTCAGTTCAACATTATTATTATAACTATTACTACTGATATTACTCTGTTTGCAATTCTTGTTATATTCTCTAATCACTAACTGTTTATCCAAGTGATGTTATTGAAGCATTATGCAATTTATCATAATTTTAATCTCTCATACTCCCTCACCGCCTATCTGTTTGAGCATGATCTGGAAAACATTCGTACCTGTCTTTCTGCATGACTAATTCAATGTAGTTTATTTGCTTATCAGTCTTATATCTCCCAATGTAATTTCATTAGTATATATATCCCCGCATATATGTAGACTATTAAGCTCAGCACGGATCCAAAAAGCTCGGGCTACTTTCGCTAACTTACACCGTCTCTGGCGCAGGCGTGACATCCGACTATCAACCAAGGGACGTGTGTACTGCTCAGAAGTTCGCTCCGTCCTTCTCTATGGCGGTGAAACGTGGCTATTGAGAGCGGAAGACATGAAAAGGTTGACTGTTTTTGACCACAGATGTTTACGATCTCTTTCTCGCGTTAGGTGGTATAATAAAGTAAGTAATGTTGACGTTAGGCGTACAGTGTTGGGCAAGGAGGGAAAATCAATAGAAGAGGCTATAAAGTTACAGAGATTGAGATGGCTAGGTCACGTGCTGCGCATGCCTAACCATCGCCTCCCCCACTCTGACGGGCATTACTAGCTGATATGGGTGCAGGTTGGAAAAGAGTAAGCGGTGGCCAAACAAAAACATGGCATCAATCCATGAAATCCTTGACAGTTAAACTGAGTCAGCTGGGGAGATGCAGACTTCCGGGTTGGGGCCCTCGGGACTCTAAGAATCAATGGCTGGAGACAATAGGTGACATGGCTCAAAATCGTTGTCAATGGCTTACGCAGATGTATTCAGTCTCTGTAAACTTTCATATTCCTTTCTTCCATTACTCATTCTGTTTCACTCTTATACTTGTCAAAACTCTATTGATTCTCTTCACTCATTTTCCTGTCTACGTTTGTGTGCTATTTGGAACGTGGCAACTCGAACTGCTGCACTTCGGTGCCAAGTTCTATGTTGAATCCATCCAGCCAGACAGCCAGACTATTAAGCTGAGGAGTTCTACCGAAATTTGATGAATTCATCAAATCATGCTTTATTACGCTTTGTTTCTTGTTTTAAATTCGTATCGGGAAATCAAAGTTTCCGATTCACAATGCGGTGATAACTGCATACTCATGCATAATACTGATCTTGGATGCCACAACTGTCCAGTCTACCTTCATGTTCAATGTTTCTCTAGGTAATGCCAATTCGTCATAAAATATACACTGAACTCTACTCCATCTAGACAAATCTAACTCTTCAGAGTAATTTAAATACAAATTTACAAATACTCTGCATCCTGCAATAAGTCACACCTCGGGAAAAATAATTCACAAATTTTACCCTCTTTCTATAAACACAAAAATCAATGCAGGTATGAACACACACACTTTTTCAGACTAACCTTATGGAATGTGATTGACTGCAAGCTATAGGTTTGACGATGAAAATCTCTTCAAATAAATGTCCCATTATATAGATAAGACCAGCGGTGAACTCCGTGAGTGTATCGGATAATTCCATAAGAAAATGACCACCTAGAAGACAAGTTATGATGATAATGATGGTTATTAGTGTCAATCAGAGAAGTCCAACTTACTAATGCTGCTTTATAAAACATATCAGTATACATTAGAAAAATTCGAGTTAGTAAGCAATACACCAGGCTTCAACATGATGTTGAACCACGTGTTCTCAGCTGATGGGATAAATGAGGCTTCAGCTATAAATAGCTCTCTCCCTCTACTTTGTCAAATCAGATTTTTGTGTTGCGATGTTGTCCACTCCCTCTTTGTGAATGTGTGTAGAAGCAATTCAACTTGATTACGAGTTGAAAGCTGATGGATGAATGGGCGCTTTCAGTGTTGGATTATACTATCGAAAGGAAACAAGATGGAAAGTGAAATACATGTATTTACAGAAAAAGGGGGAATATTTGAACCGGTTCGTCTCAACCTACATCATTTAAGACAGAATTAGTGAAATGTTCAAAACAAAAGGGGAAGAAAATAAGTAACAAAGGTTAATTAGGCAGGATTTAATCAACTCATCAGATTTCCGTAGGACTCCTCAACTGAATACTCCACATAAAAATGTATTTTTATATATATATATATGTGATACTAGAAATGCATCTGGAGATATAAGACTGATTACCGAATGAACTACATTGAATTAATCATGCGAAACAACAGGTGTGAATTGCTTTCAGCTCATGTTCAAATAGATAAGACGATGGGATTATGAGTGAATAAAGTTCAGATAAAATGTATTACGGTTCAACTGCATCACTTAGATAAACAATCAGTTATCAGAGAAGGAACCTGAATGTATCAAGAACTGTGAACTGAGTAATATCAATAATACTTTGACGAAAGAAGACAAGGGCCAAGTAATCTCTCATGATCCTTCTCCCCCGTTATCTATTTGAACACGACCTGGAAGACATTCAAACCTGTCTTTCCGTACCACTAATTAAATGTAGTTTATTTCCTTATCAGTCTTATATCTCCCAATGTAATTTCAATAGTATATATGTATCCCTTCATGTATATAGAGTATTCAGTTGACGAGTTCTACCGAAATTCGATGAATTCATTAAATCCTGCTTTGTTACCTTTTATGGCCTGTTTTAAAAATACTAATAATGACAATATGCATGACAATCTCACACTCACATACACGCACAAATAGATGAAAACATCAACAACACCAACAACAACAACAATACGGAGTTGAAAACATTAGAATTACTTCTATAGAAACAAGGGACCTCTGCAACCTCTCATAGACTTCCTAACAAAGCAGGAGTCATGGTGCCATTCATCCCCACACATTCACTTATTGATTAATTGTGATAGTTAAAGGATCCTGTGGAGACTATTCAACGAAGTGATCCAGTTTATTTAATTCCCTTCAATACATTTCAGATCAGATACAGAGACCAAGATGGTAGGATGCCATCAGTTAGATTAGTGCAGTACAGAAATCTGTCTATCTGTCGATTAGTTGACTCTAATAAAGTAAACAATCTAGGCAATTACTCAGTCAGTTAAAGCAGTGAATGCTGTCACACACACACACACAGACATAAAATAGAATGGGACGAAATCGAGGTGTCAAGCTCTAATCCAATAGGATGGTGGGTGAGACTGATTAATAACTGAAGCCTCACTTATCTAGTCAACTAAGAACACACGACATAGGTATGATTCAATATCTGTTCCAGACATCTGGAAAATTCTGCCACCCTTAGAGCAAATGGAAAGGAAGGAAGGAAGTAAGGTAAAAAGAGAAGTATGGCGAAGATCCAGTCTCGAAGTTGTAGTAGTAGTTACAGTTCACGATATGATTGTGAATAACAAGTTATGTTGGAAACGCCGTTATCGAATAAACAATACCGCTTGCATTGTCTGTGTACGTGTGATTTATCCAGTCAACAAGTTAGTGTAGAATCACTTGAAACCTGTTTAATAGAAGTCAACACTTGAAAGGAGCAGATGGATGAGAGAACACCATAACACGTCTAAATTCATTGATATCATTGATTTCATTTATAGCTATGGCAAATCAGTTTTCTCTCTAAACTTATTTGGAACATAATCGAAATTTCTAGGGGATACACTGTACCCTCCTTGAACCGCTTAGATAGACATAGTTATCATCAAGCTAATAAGGGATTTTTAAAGTACTGCTTTTTGGTGGGATTTCGTTTGATTGGTTCGAGGATTTCATCATGAGCTGACATCAATTAAAAAAAACCATTGGAAAAACTGCAAGGAGTACTGGACAGCTGTTTCGTCAGCCTAGTTTGGGACTCTTGAGCAGTACGTTGGATTTGGTCCCAGTGGCTTAATGGCTTACTAGCTCACCCAGTAACCAGAAGGTTCTGGATTCCAGTCACAGTGGGTGCGTTATGACGAAGAGTCCCAAACTAGGAAGAAACGGATGTCCAGTACTGTCAGGATTTCCAATGCTTCTCTAACTGATGTCCACTCCTGATTCAATCTGTAACCAATCATTTCTTCTCAAACCTACACCCGATGTAAATATACATATATATTCATACTAGAAGTAAAGCGCCAGACACCATATAAACTCACCCGGTCTTAAAATTGTCAGAGCGCACAAACACTGACACACAAAAGTCCGTTTACTCTGCACTTCATCAAGAGATAAGCGCTGGAATATACAACAACAATAATCCTTCAGATATCAGTGCAATGCTCCGAATAATAATAAATAGAAATAACAGAAATTTAAATATTTTGTAGACCTCACAAATGAGAATTACGCCAACGGTGTTTTTCACTTACAAAAAAGCTTCAGTCGATATTCAATACCATACTTCAGTTTCTACAATTCCTAATGCAGAACAACAACTTGTGTTCTCGAACCCACATCATCAATCAATCAATCAACCAATCAACAAAATTTCCACAGTATTTCTCAATCGTGCTTTCGTCAAAGTATGTCGAACGAATGTTTACTTCAAGTTCACTAGTGTCATCCACTCAACTGTTTCTATTCTCAGCTGAACTATTCCAACTGTACTACTGTGGTGAGAGCTAGCTGCAAGCCAAAAATTGTAGACAACAATTTACATCAATGTTCACGTCCGGAATCACGGTCACGGGAAAAATACAATAACAAAGCTTAACCTTGAGGTACTCAAAACCAATCACAGAAAACTTAACGTGTGCATATAAGATTCACAGATATATAGCTTAACTATCTCAGAAACGGTTACAAGGGGTACAGAATTAACTTCAGCAAGAAAACCACCAACCAGGAGATGTTGCTTCTCTGCTAATAATAGCGCTAATAATAATGTACATATAAATCTATAAATATCCCTTGATTTTCCCGATGAACGATCTGTTACCTTGCCCTTGTCTTCTGTCATTACACTACACACATCAATATGGTCAAATATGAATTAAGTTAATTGTACAGTCATACTGAAAACAGCAGAAACAGAAACTCAATCACACATTCGATAGAAAGTGAAGTTGGCAAAACTGTCAACAATTATACCTCGACAAATGAAATTCTCATCAGAGGGATTAGAATCAATAGCACAGAAGTAGGTTGATAAAGATATTTAGAAATACTGAAAACCGACATTCAGTGGAGCAGGTATGCGTGAATAACAAGAACACACGAATATTGTTCCATTGAGTTCTAAACAGTAGAGTGGAAAATTTCTTTTCACAAATCCTTCAGAATTCTGCAAACTGTTCAAGTCATCATTATGACGAGACAAGGATTCAGTGCGAAAATATCTACTCCTTCTTCTGCCTCTTCTCATTGACAAACGACGCGTTATGTCCAAGAAAATCCCCTTGTCGGAAAGAGATCGATGAATTCCAGTCAGTCAGTCAGTCGATCAATCAATCAATTAAAATAATTACTGAATCACTTGTGAAACTTCTCAAACTGCTTTTCTACATACATTCCTCTCACTCTCTTAGACAATAAAGAAAATGATCAGTGATTAATAATATTTAAAAAAACTATAGAGAAAGGAAGGAAATCACGTAAGATTGAAAAAAAGTGGTTCCCGTAACACGAGATCAATTTGATCTAAAAATACATGGCAGCAGCAGAAGTGAAGACCCAACTAGTCACCATTGCATCAACCAGTGAAAAGACAAAGATCAAGAGGAATCCAATAGCAGAATGATATAATCAGGTAATATTGAAAATCAACAACATGCAAATTTATAAACTCTTACAAATTATTCAGAACAAACTAGTTATAGTGGACAATTGTAGCTTCAATAAATTCCTCTTCTTCTTCAGGCTGTACAATTATAAATCCATTAAATTTAAGCATGCAATAGCCATCCGGCAAAGGCAAATTAGAATCATATCACAAAGTGTATTGTGGAACAAGTATAAGTGAGATGGGATGGAACAATAGTCGATTAACTTTTTTAATATGCATGGTCAATGAGAACATGAGATAAAATGGGTAGTTACTGGACACCAGGTATAACGTGACCAGACGTTCTCAGTTATTTACCGCGTTCCTAGTAATCTATCTGAAGGAGTTCGACTACATCTTCTGTCAGTAGCTGAATCGGTTCCAATTAATAACAGAAGACCAACTCTTTGTATACAGAAGAAGTATGTTCAACCTCTATGTTTACCTTGACCTACAATAAAGCCAACAAATCCTTCATAAACATTAGCACTACAAATTCTTATCACAATTTTCTTTTCTTTGCTTCTTCTTCTATTCCTTTGTTTCATTGACAAACGTTCATTTTCGAATTTTATGATTTCATGACCTTTCTTATGATTTTATTACCTTAGGTTTATGTGGTGCTTTTCTAACTGGCTATCGTATTTACAAAATCCTGTTCATTCCACTTCATTATATTCTTTAATATTATTATTTGACAATCATTCACCAATATTACTTTTAAGTTTACACTACATCATCGTTATTATTTTACAATCATTCTCATTGTCGTTATTTTTAACCTTGAACTTTCATCTAGACCGCCCCATTCGTTGGTTTATTTTCATATTGTCTCACACACCCTGATTACGATCACTCACGAAACCTGTATTTCTCTGTTGACTATATTTCTATATATACACATCATTAAATTAAATTACTTAATCTCATTTTGTCTCATGTTCTTAATGACCATGCATATTAAAAAACTAACTGACTATTGTTCCATCCCATCTTATACTTGTTCCAAAATACACTTTCTGATATGATTCTAATTTGCCTTTGCCGGATGGCTATTGTATACTTAAATTAATAATAATAATAATAGATTGCTTAATTCCAAAACAGTACTTGTGATACAGAATGGAATTCTCAGCATTTTTACTACAGTATTACATCCAGTTAGTACATTATCAATAAATAAAATTCTACATAGATTATGGGTAGTCTCAGTCCATTATGACAACAACAATATTGGCATGTCGGTAGCAAAGCCAAAGTTGAACAGTGTTTGAAGGTGTTAGAAAAGTAGATGCTATCATATTTACTGGCATAAGCGGAAGAAAGAAACAAAGCAGCACATTAGAGAAAAAAAAGAGAGAGAGACAAAAAGGAAAAGAAAGAAAGGAAACGTTGTATCTATAAATGATATGAGTTGGAAAAACGAGATCCAATTGTTCTACTGACTATTTAATAAGTTATAAGTTTCACGCCTAATGCTTTCTTTATCGCACAGAACACGAGCTAAGTAGGGTATGGTTGAGTTTTTGTACTTGCTAATGCGAGCATATAGTTTTCTATATAGGCTTCTGGTCCTGCCTGATGAGATACAAGGGAAGAGTTGTGAGCGACTAGGGTGGTGTGAGTTAGATAGAATGGATTTAGCCCATTTTTCACATGAGTCCATGTGCCTGTCAACCAGAATATTAACAAGCTGGTTAAGTGGCACGTTGCTTACCCTGCTGACAACCTTTAACATCCTGAGTAATAAGGTATAGCCTTTCTTCAGTAGCCCCGGAAAAACTAAGGGATTAGTGGATTTATAACTGTGGAGCCTGAAGAAGAAGGATTTATTGAAACCACAACCGTTCACTCTTACTATTTTGTTCTGAATAAATTATGGGAATATTCAATTTCCTAAAAAGTACTCTATTATGGGTAGAATTTATTTTGATAAAGTCTCGCAGTGTTTATTATGCAGTAATATTTACTGATGACCACGTTTCCAGCACAATTTATTGCTGCTACTCATAATCATATCAAGGCACTACTCACTCAACTTTCTAACTTCGTTTATATAATTCCACTATTTTTCATCGCTTGATTTGATGATTGGTAGTAGTATTTTCCATATTTTCGGTATGAGTGATGAATCATTCCTAATACACGTGTTGGGTTCAGACTCGATGAACAAGGATTCAGTAATCAACCACCTCTCTCTTTCTCCACCAACCTACATTACTTTGTAGAATTTTAACCCTCTCCCACCCAATATATTGTGTGTTTGTGTGTTAATCCACACAAGGCAATGTAGTGCTGAGCTTTTTCTCAGTTAATTATCTTAGTGGGGTCAGTCATTCTAACCTTAGGTAAATTCTTAGGTCCTGATAAACTCACTACTCTTGGTCTACTAGTTTGACCTATGCAGTTGACCTAACGAAAAGTTATTGCAAAGTATTTTGCAAATTATATTATTTTGTTTAAGTGAGTCAACTGACAGGATACTTTAGCATACAGAGTGAGTAATGTATGTGTAAAACTTGGGCACTGTGGTAGTAAGTAATTCCATATTACGATAGAGAAAGAAAGACCAGATTTGCAGTAAAAAATGATATCATTCTATTTCACAGGTTCTCATCAGCTAACTGAAAACTACCTGAAATTACAATGGTTATAATTAATAACATTTCATACTTCATTGTTTGAAAGGTAATACAGAAGGCATTAAAAGATAAACGCATCCGGAATATAAGGATTAAAATTTTTTGTAGTTTAAGTTACCATCAATTTATATACTATCAAACTATTGAAAAAAGAAAGAAAAAGGGTGGGTGAGAGAAGACAGCAAATAGAAAAATCTAATAAACAGTGTCAACATGGCAACTCAACAAGGTCAAAGTTCATCAATTTGAAAACTTGCTTAGTGAGTTGAACTCACTAGTGTCTATGAGTAATCATTGTAATGAAAGTGATACGGTTACCAAGGGAGTGAGAGATTGACTACACTCCCTTTCTGTGTGCATAAGTTTGGTCTGAGGCGTTTGATTGCAACTGCTTCAGCAAATCGTAGTAGATTCGCTGTCCTTTGTATGTTTAATATTTTGAAGGATTTGGAAATCTCAACAAAATGGCCTGTATCCACAAGGTGTCTGGTAATTGCACTTTGTAAATATTTGCTTCCTTTTAAGCATAAGTTTCTCGGAATATGCTCTGAAAACTTCAAACAATGAAGTATGAAATGTTATTAATTATAACCATTTTAATTTCAGGTAGTTTGCAGCTGATGAGAACCTGTGAAATAGAATGATATCATTTTATACTGCAAATCTGTTCTTTCTTTCTCTATCGAAATTTATCAAGGGAACCAAATGTATGAAATTCCATATTAGTTTGTTTATCAGATGTATCACACAGTGAAACAGTATTATTTACTGCATGACAAGGTTTCGAACACAATTCATCACTTTTCTCAATGATATCGATTATAATGACACGACTTCGAAAGTTGAGTTTTATAGTTTTCTTTGTTCGCTCCTATTTGTCATCGTAGGGGTTATAGAATTTTGCAGATATCCGACTGGACAGGTGTTGAATCATTCCTATTACACGTGTTTGCAGTTGATTCAATAAACATAGCCTCCATTGACATCAATCTCTCCCTCCACCCCGCAGCTACATTCGATTTTAAAACTGTCATCTTATTCCATCCAGCCTATTGTATGATTGTGTGTAATTGCATGTAGTGAGTGCTATAGATGAACTATTCTCCAGATTTCTTATCTTATTTGTGTAAGCTAGAGAATCGTTCAGCTATAATAGCATTACATGCAATTACACACAAATTTTGTTCGAAACGTCATCCAGTAAACAGTAATACTGTTTCCGTGTGTCATATATCTAATAAACAAACTAATATGGAATTGTCTCTGAGTGAGTTTGTAGGTTTAAATGCTACTCTAATTCCTGCTTTACTAAGAATCCTACGTAGGGTCTCAGATGTAGCCTTCTTATATGGAGGGACTGTAGATGCTTTATATTCTTTCTTATTTATGTTATCTTTATTAGTTTCCCCATTATTTTTATTTTGACCCCTTCTGATCTTCCTAATGAATTTTATAGGATAGTCATTTAATACCAACGCTTCTTCTATCAGTTTTACTTCATCATTTAGGTCTTTTTTTGTACTACTTAGTGCTATTGCTCGGTTTGTTAGACACTTGATCAAGGGATATGAGTTCCTTCGAGGTTGCACATACGCCTTGCTGACTGATGAGTGCCAACTAGCACGAAATCTAGGTCCAAAGCTTCCTGTGGCCGATTGCCACCAACCATCTAATACCAACAGTGCACAGTGCACCGTGATGGCGAACAGCCACCTAGCATAGTGGGCACATTGGAAACTTGACTGATAGCATTCAATTTGCACCGAAGAAAAAACAAAACACCTTACATTAGTTACTGACGAGTGTCGAATCAAAAATACTGACTGACTGTCTGACTGATCGCATAAGTAACCGATCGACGCTGGAAACAAGCCAGGCAACGGTAGAAATAGTTGCACGGCATTCCCAACAACACCTTCCCACTGTGTGTACTACAATCACTGCACGATTTATCCAATTCCTATTCACATGTATATTTTACATCACAGTTTATCGAACTCATGTTCGCAAAGTCAACCTCATCCATCTGTCTAACAAATAACTGTGAATGCCTTCATCGATATAATTATACTATCGATATTATCACTGTTATTATTAATACTATTGTTTGTATGAGAAGTGATGTGAAGCAGTTATCTGTCCTTCAACTCACCCAGCCTGCAAACACCACATGGACACCAACACCGTTCGAACCACGACTAATCAAGGAAGCGAACGACTTCAAATCAAACCATTTCGCGATATCACCGGAGCATGGCCTGCAGGCTACCATTGGAGCAACATCACTATTCATTTTTCTTCCAGCAATGGACGAAGTAAACCAGAATCCTTTAGCAGAAAGCACCGGCTGTTTACTTGAATTCCAGCTTCTACAACTGCGATCATCATCATCATCATTAGACTCATTGTTCCGTGAGGAATCAAGGGGATAAAAGGGATAACACCTCCGCCATAAAATGTATTCTGAAAAGCCACAGGATACCGAGCAAATTTCCGCGAAGTATAAAATTTCCTGTTGATAGAATAAAAGTGAATAATAAATGTTAATATCTCACATATAAACTGCCTTCTTCACACCTGATTCTTATCCTTAGGACAAGGCTTCTTTCGATTTTTGAAGATACTTTAACTATTAGATTGATTTTTCAAGACTGCGTTGGCAGCATCATGCCCCATCCTCTCTCTTTTTTCTAAACTTAACACTGTGCACTAAAACCACTAAAATAGTAAACTCGTGAGGTGAGTTTCCTGAGCACGTATGACTAACCTCCAATGCCTCAGGATGGTCGGGGGTGGGTGCCTTGCGCTGCGGGTTGGCCACCCCTCCGCACACCTCTTGAAATCCTCCCATATGACCGGGCGTCTTACATAGCCCCTCCTGAGGAAGTCCTACTCACTGCCTTCACGTCGCGGAGGTGTTTTTCACCAAAGTGAGAGGGCGAAAGCGGATGCCCGGCGCTCTTCACCGGGTTGACTGTCCATTGTATGACAGTCTAGGGGAGGTGGCTAAACCCTGATTCCAAACCTCCAACGACTGGCGTATGAAGCTCACTGGAGCTCACCGGCAGACGTATGGACAAAGGGCTTGTTGGATGTCCTGGATGTCTGGCCCCATTCAAAAAAGCGTATGAACCGAACTCCGGTCACCGGCTGCCAATGGATAGTGGACTCCCTACTCCACTCCTACTGCCTTGTAGGTCACACTTGGTTGTGTAAAGGCTAGAGCTGCACTCTCAAACAAAAGGCCGAGCGATTCTGGGGACGTCACTCGTACGAAATTCCCATGAAACTTCATGAACTCTCTTATTCGAGATGTTCATGAAGCCGGCTCATCCTCCCGTAGGAGATAGCCGAAGTAAAGTAAGTAAGTACATATGACTAACATGAATTAAATTCGAGAATAGCTCGCACGGGGAATGCTGTATAGCAGGTAGAAAGGAATGTTTACCGACAGATATAGGTGGGATGGGTTGAAAAATGCATAGCTTACTCGCATTTGACAAATACAGTGCATGTCTCGTTTATGGAAAGTAATAATGACTTATCCGTGTTGCATAAGAGGTCGGTCGTCGTAGCCCAAGTGATCCAGTGGATAACGCTTTGCCATTTGAAACGAAGAGTTGTGGGTTCTAGTCTCAGAGGCAACACCATCAGTCAGTTGGGATTGCAGCTACATTCACACTTTGAGCCAGTAATAAGATGAAATGTGCATCCTATACGCCACTGCTAGTCACCAACCAACCAACAAATAACATCAGTAGTATATATCTAAAGTCTTCCACTACCACAATAATAGTGAAGCATTTCAACAAGTGAATAGTATTCATAATCCAACTAATTCCTTCAAACATCCACCCATCCAGCCATCACATCATACCTAACTACCCATTCTTGTATTTCACATATTTTCCAACTCTCGTTATGCTTTCGTCTACTCAACATGTTACATGTCTTGCTCACAGAAGACTTCGTCTACAACGGTAATCGTGAATTCTTCTCAAAAAGTGACAATACTCAGTCTCGGATTCAGTCACCAAAGTATTGGTTAACATTCACCAACACCATCGTCAGTATATACACTAGATGAGTGTAATACTACAGTGAGTAAAAAATGTGGACATTCTCTAAAACAATGCATTGCAGTCCTGATGAGACGTTCTAAGCAACGGGATCCACCAATTCAGGCTAGAGGTGAGTTACGCGCCTGCGACACTGACTGTTGGTAACGGTAAAATCACGAATTGGTGGAAGTAGAATTCATATCGCGATCACTGAGTATGGTCCCAGTGACTGAATGGTCTACAAGGTCAACTAATACGGGTAAGGTAAGGTGTTCTAACTGCTGTGGTGGGTGCAGACTGCTGAGGTGTCTCAAACTAGGATGACACACATCTATCCAGTACACTCAGGATTTCCGATGTCCCACTTACTGATGTCAACCGCCGATCAGATCTGTAAGTAAACAATGCATTGAACATACTTCATCTACAGCTATTCTCCAAAAACATCAACATTGGTCTTCATTTCATCAGACATCGGGGAGAATTTCGGACTGTTTCAATCGTTTTCCGCCTGAAATCAATTATCCCACTGAACAATTTCTTTAATCACACTGTTTGTCATTGGCGGTGATTTATGATGCACAAAAGATGCTCCTTACTCACTGGCCTTATTAATACATCAAATTATCTTCGGAGATTTGATACGAGTGTAACGGGGAAATCACTGAATCAACAACAACAGTCTACAGATTCTCTGACCACCTTGTCTCTTAAATGACTTATAACCGTAAATAAATGGGAATCAGACCTTCATATTTTACTGACTGATTCAATTTAGGAATACCGGGAAGCATCGTTTCAACCACATGCCAGAGGAACGCATGAAGATGTCAAAGCTAGCCGGCCAGCCAGCCAGAATCGGAAAGGCAAAATACGGCTTCATCAACCTGAAACCAGTTTGGAAATCCTCTACAGTCAACATAAAGAACAAGATTCAGATTGTCATCACCAACATAAAGTCAGTCAGTTGGTGCTTCTATACAAGTCAGAAACGTGAGCAGCGTGTCACGAAAAGCATTTCCAATATGTTACAGGACTTTATCAGCAGTTGCCAACTTCTCTGGCTCCATACTGAAGACGATATGGCCAGCCAGCCAGCCAGGAATAATTAGTAACAAGAAACTCTGGGAACTAAATAACCAAGAACCGATCAGTCAAAAAATATGTAGGAGAGAATGGAGAAGGATCGGGTATACATTGAGGAGATCAGCGAATGACATAGCGCTCAATGCAGGCCATCACTTGAGTGGAATCCCAGTGGGAAGTGACGAGTGGGCCGTCGGTGCTAGGGTGACATGGAGGAGATCGTGCTAGGGAGAGATCAAAGATTATGAGCAATCGTGGGCTCAGATCACGAGGACAGCAGAGAATAGAAGCAAGTGGAGATGTTTTGTTGAAGCCGTATATTCTACTCTGAACTCAAGGGAACAATAATAATAATAATAAACAATTAACAGTCCTACTTGCAATAAGAACAGAAGTAATAATAGTAATGATAATAATAACAACAATAGTGTTACTAATAGTATTATTAAGTTTACCGATGAACTGAACACTTACATCCTGATTAGCGGCATCTCTAAACATTCCATTGAATATAGAATCGATATTAGCCACTGGTATTCCGTCACTAATTCAAGCGTAAACATAATCATATCAAATAAACATGAACATTTCACAAAGAAATAAAAGAGAAGATGGAGATTATCTGAAAATTAATGTGATGTATTTGCGTTATACATTTCGAACAATCTGATCACACATTTACTTGTCAAGTCAATATATATGGAAAAGTTAAATTAAACAAAGTGACAAAAAAGAATTAAGAATAATTAACACAAACGTTTGGTAATCCAATCAAATAAAGATTACCAAGGTAGGTTAAGAGTAATAACAAACTGTTTTTGAATACAGAAGGAGGGCTTAAGTTTATGAATGGCTATAACCTCAGCGTATTTCAGTAAACGTCCCTGACCGGTTTTATAGATGACCTTAAAGGCTGAGTTCACATCAACCTTATGGTTCATCTCGATCTGAGAAAACAAACCATCAAGTGCGTGATATCACACGCCAGGCGATTGCTCGAGAGGAAGAAGAATTGGAAGTGGTGAGTTGGTCGTCAGTGTGAGGGTGGGGTGACATGGAGGAGGTCATGTGAAGAGAAGAGAAAAGCATGTGGGCAGACGTGGAGCCAGGTGGAAACGTTGGCGGAGAACCGAACGCAATGGGACGTGAGGCTGAAGCCTATGTCCCTCTAGGAACCAAGGAAAATAACTATAGAAATTAGTAATAATAATAATAATAATTCTAATCTAGTCAGCTGATTATTTTCACTATTTAAATAAGTGAACAATATTCAACAGATATTCAATTCAGTGAGCCTACTTCACTTCACCTTAATCAAGGTATCTCACCATTTCAGCAATTAAACGAATCCTCAGTCACCATGAGTATTCACCATGAAGTTAAATAATTAACTATCTTATTTCACTTGCTACTATAACAAAAATGAAAATCCATACTTACCGGTTGTTAAAAATCCCACTTGCCATCGATTGATGGGGATTAGATCGTCGAAGACTTGAAAGATTCACGTCAACGAGAATTTCATCCAGTTGATCCTATAAATAGAAAAACACGCATTTACTCACACAAACACACTCACACACGAGAATGCACTGCTCTGATTTATTAACATGATCAGAAATCTATTCGAATAAACCACATTCAACATAACAACTGCCGATGAACAGTCTTTGGATGAACACTTCTCAGCTTAGCCGACTGACTGATGGCCACTAACTAGTTCCAACTGTTCCCTCGACAACACAATCATCATGACCATGATGTTCATTAGACAATATATTCGGTTTTGTCTAATCCTGTGAAGAGAAAAATCAATTCTGAACTGATTATATGCAAGTGAATAATTGTCAATGGCTCTGAGTATCACTCTTAAATCTTTCTCGACACGACTGTTACTAAATAAGCTGAATGAGAATATCCTATTGGTCAATCTTATAACTGAAATGTAGACACACAGAACTCCTATCAATGTATTCTACTCAATTTCAACATAGATGTACTAATGGAAGTAACCCCAACTGCTGACTTCAGAGACGCAGGGATTGACTTGCTACCAGGGAATAATCTCGATGACTTAGAATATGCAGATGATATTGTCCTTCCTCCTAGGTGAAGACGCTGACAAAGTGCAGTTTTATGGATACCATGACTTGCAGTCTACGAATGTTTGGCACGCGATTCGATCCCGCCAAATGTAAGATGATGTTACAGGACTGGACTACACTGACTCCTAGCTTAGAAATAGGGAGTAAAGTGATAAAGCGTACTGACAAATCCACTAATTTGGGAAGTTGCATCAGCCAACACCAACGGGTCGATCGCTGACGAAGTCTCAGCATGGATACAGAAGGCTCGTTTCACATATGCCAGTTTACGCCATCTACGCCATCTCTGGCGTAGACGTGATATCCGGATATCTACCGAAGGGTGGGTGTACTGGTCAGCAGTCCACTCCGTCCTGCTTCATGGCTGTGAGTGAGACATGGTCACTGAAAATGGAAGACATGGAAAGGCCAGCCAGCTGTCTTTGATTACTGGTGCCAGCGTTCTATCTCCCGTGTGAAGTGGTATAGTAGGGTAAGCAATACTGGGGTTAGGCGTCGAGTGCTATTTAGGCGGGAGGGGAAACCAATCGACGAGGCTTCGAAGCCGCATAGACTGAGATGGTTATGATATGAGTTGCGTATGCCTGCCTAGCCATCGCCTTCCTTGACAACGGGCAGTGTTAGCTGACATAGTATTTTGAGGTTGGAAAGCGGCAGCCAGTAGTGGTCAAACCAAAACATGGCTTCGTCAGTCAATGAAATCCAAAACAGTTAGTTTGAGCCAGCCAGACTTGTAGGAAGGTGTAGACTTCCTGACTATTTGGGGTCCTTGGAACGGTAAACATTACTGAAGTCTGGAGACAATTGATGATAGGGCTCAAAATCGTTCTCAGTGGCACAGATGTATCCACCCTTTGTGACTTATAATATCCAATGAAACTATATTGTTTTTCGATATTACTATTTCCTTCTGACTAATACCGCTGTTTACTGTCTCTTTTTTGTATTTCCTTTTACTTCCTTCTCTGACTTTGTATGCTGAGTAAAGTGTGGTGAATCGAACTGCTGCACATCTGTGCAAAGTTCTATGTTGAAACCAGTCAGTCAGTCAGTCGGTCACTAGTAATCTTTGACTTATCTCCTTTGTTTCCTTATTCACACTTTCTGATGTAGTCGACAGAATTAGATCTGATTACGTGGCACATTTTACCTTTGTCATCCTCACTAGTACAAATTGAAATCACTTCATGTCAATATGCCTATTGAAAATATCATGTCGATTTAGAAAACACTCACTCATTCACTAATAAGCAAAAACACGAACGCGCTTGATTCATAATTCGTCTTCACTTAGGCTCTTCAGTGGCCAATTCACACTCACACACTCACCGTAAAGCCACGTCATCAACTTCATTCTACAATATTGGTCATCATACTCTGTGAACGAAATTGGAAACAGAATATCTCCGACCAACACCTGCTCACACCCACACACACACAGGAACCTTCAATCAAATAATAATCAATCACTCCTCGATCACTCAGACTAAAAATATATATATCAGTGTGCAAATCAATTCAATACTTTAACAAACCTTGTACTTTACAACTTCTTCAACAAGATGTGCTGAACAAAATTTCGTCTGATTGCGCAACTCTTTAATTCGGGGACCAACAGCCTCCACTTCATCAGGCCAAATCAGTAGAGAATTCAATCTGGACAAACTATCCCTTTGATATCCTGATGACCAGGTAGCGACAAAATCTTCTTTTGCTACATCACATTCCCTATGCCAAACCAATTGTGGATCGGACGACTGATACATGGGTGTTGCCGATTGTTTACTCATGTTGTGATCGTCAATAGACACTTTCGTTGATTTGGCGTATCACTTCCACCAGGATGTTGATCACTAATTCTCGAACTTTGACTGTCTGTCCTCTGATGTCGTCACCTGATGCTACCAAATAAAAGCAGTGAATTGTTATCTCTCCTCCTTGGTTTTATCACTTAGCTGCAATCGGACAAATAAATCGAAACGCGTTCTAGATAAATGACTGATCAACTGACTTCATAGCACAATATACCGTCACCCAATTGACCAGCGGATTTTGTTGAGACCAAGAAGAGTGCAAAACTATATCAGTGAGTCGTGTTTAGAAATGGTCTTTCTGCTTAGACGCCCTAATATTATCTCTAGTTTTCTAAGTAAAACATGGAGCAGTGCATACCGCAGGATCACGGTGTACTCTATAAAAACAAAGTAACCTCAAAGGAATCTTTATTCATCGGACACACGCCCACACCCACACCAAATCTTCAGATCATGCAGTAGTACACCTTCCACGGTACTAAAATAAATCTACACCTAAAAGTAATAGATCAGATGAGACCAACTTAATACTAACTCAAACAAAAATCTAGTAGTAATTCTATACAAGGAAGGAACCTCGGAAACATCACGCAGAATTCTTAACAAGACAGGAATAAAAGTGGATGGCATTCACACCACCCACAAACTTAATTAGAACAAGCTTTGTCGGTTAAAAGATCAATCCTCTGGAGCCTTTAAAACAAAACAATTTAGTTTATCTAATACCCTGCCTGCAATGATTGTCAGGTCAAACACATAGGTCGAAATAGTAGAATAGGGTCAGTCAGTCAGACTAGCGGAGCATTAAAACTTAGCAAAATTAAGATTAGTTGACCAAAATAAGATAAGAAATCTAGAGAATAGTTCAGCTATAGCATTACATGCAGTCACACACAACCATAAAATAGGATGCAATAGGATGACATTTTTAAAATCAAATGTACCCGCTGGGTGGATGGAGAGATTGATAACAGAAGCTTTGTTTATCGAATCAACTGCAAATACATGTAATAGGAATGATTAAACACCTGTCCAGTCGGATATCTGGAAAATTCTACTGCTTATATGACAAGACAGATTTAAGGTGGATTTAGTGAAGACAGATGCAATATCGACAACAAAACAACAACAACTAGGAATCAGAATGAATACGATCATTCTAGAGGAAGTCATCTCTCTCACTTATCTGAACAGCACGGATGGCAGGCAATACTAAAATCAATCACGATGGGGAAAACAACTCAGATCTTCTCCACACTAAAATCAGTGGGCGAATCTACTGCACTGAATATAGAGAACAACATCCGAATTCTCAACACCAATGTCTAGTTAGTCAGTACTTCTATACGGTTCAGAGAGTTGACGCGTTTGTCATCAGAAGTATTTCCAACAGGTAATTCAATACTTTCATGAATAGCGTTTGCCTTCACTGTCTTGATACTTTAGATGGCTGGCCATGAAGCATAACAAAATAAAGAAGTCTTTCAGAGAACTGACCATGAACCTATCGACGAGGGAATATTCAGGATGAAATGGAGATGGATTGGACGTAGTAACAAATATGGGTCCATGCTTTGTGTTTTGCAGTCGATGGTGTCTCTAACTACAGTCCTAGTCGACTACTATTGGGTAACAACAGTAGAGAGCAGTAAACTTATGAGATATCACTTCATGTGAAGTCGTCAACGTCGGCGAAACAATGAAGCTGAGTGGTTTGTAGTTCACAAGAAGGCGGTACTATGCATCGTATGATACAGACTTTATCTAAGGTATTAATATTCTTATACCAACAAATCCATACGGTAAGACAATCTTCAAGCAGGTGTGTGTGTGCATCCTATGGTGATGTGTATCGACAGGTATCTTGTAGGATCTACTTAGCAGGCAACAGTGTTGGTGCAATAATTCCAACTGGGTCGAATGTCGAAGCTACACATGAGGAAAGAGATTTCCTTGTTAGCTTCATGTTAAGATAACGTGTTTGAACGTAAGTAATAGTAACAGTGAATAGATCCCAGTTTACACTTAACATCCTCTTATTTCTCTTCAGATGGAAGAATATTGATGTTTCTTTCTATACGATTTCCCTCTGGTCAGTAGGCTGGCTATTTAGTGAAATTATATCCGCCTGTTTTCAGAATCTGCTTCGACTGGAAACGAAAAAGATTCTTCCCTAGCTACTTGAATAACACTCTCATCGAACATATCGGTGTCATCTAGAATGCTACTTTGTAACGAGAACATCGTGCAACTAAATGAAGAGGTTGATCCATTAGAACGTATTTTCACTCTGTTATCTACTGCTTCCGTCTGCATGTTGCTTCTCCTCCAGCCACCACCATAAGAATTCGATGGCAATTCGGTGATACAGAGGAACAACTACTTGGTCAAAGATAGCTTCTATATCTACGATGTTTTCAATTGGTCTCTACGAAATTTTCATGAAGACGTCCACCAGATTATTCATCAGGTTGAGACCAAGGCATAAGTTGTTATTCAAAGATGTCCCAATCTACTGTGATGAGCAGTGGAATGCAATCCTTGATTTATTAGGCTTCTTAGGAGGCAACACTGATTGGGTGATGCGCCACATGCCAAACTTGTCCGCTAACATAATCATACCTGGTCATTTCAGCGAAGTTTCTTCCAACATTTTGGCACGTTACATTGATATACTCTGCATAGAGCTGAGTCCTGAGTGTTAGCACGCTTCTTTAACAAATCCAATCAAATCAATGCCACTTTTCTGTTATCAAGTAGCTTTCGTTGACGACACCATGGAAATGCCATCCGATAATGTCTATTTACTAAATGAATGGATTCAGACATGATGCTGAGTGCTTCACGACGTTGGACATACACATATGCACTAATTAGTGTCTTGTCAAACTCACTCTATATAAAACCAACGAAACGTGGTCTCTGTTTTTTTTCTGTAGGTGACGTATACTTCACTATGCTAGTTCCTCCAAAGAATTCTGCTGTAGAGTCAGTGTGACATCCATTCGTTGGATGAAATCATGAGTAAGGCAGGCCGTCAAAATGGAGAGACGAGTCGGTCGTGCGTTGGAGGTTGATATGGAAAACATCGTCTGATGAGGAAATAAAAGCTTATGGGCAGTGGTTCAGGCAGCTAGATAGGAGTGCAGAAAACAAGGTGGAGTGGAGATATGATGTTGAAGTCCTATGGACCACCGGGGAACCGATGAGAATAATACCAGTATTCGTAATTATACATTGTATATCCTCTGAACAAGTATTATGGTTGTCACTCAGAAAATTACCTGCTCTTCATACAACAAACAGCACACAATTACAGACGAATATACGGGTATTATAACAGCTTAGTAATGTAATGACATGGTGACATAATCATTATAAATACATAATGACTAATCAGATTGATTCATTTGGTTGGTACAATTATTCACTGACAAGTGACATTTTAACAACTTCATCCTTATTGATGCTGAATAAAATCCGTATAATTTTGCTGATTAGGCTGTAACTTACACACCACCAAAATGTTCAGCAAATTCAGTTTTTGACTTTCTCTGGTATTAGATGGTTGGAGGCAATCGGCCACAGGAAGCCTTGGACCTAGGTTTCGTGCTAGTTGGCACTCATCAGCCAGCAAGGCGTATCTGCAACCTTGAAGGAAATGATGTCCCTTCTGAGATTCGAATCCACGTCACTCAGTGCTGCAGTCAGAGACGTTACCACTGAGCTATTCAGGCTCGCGACTGACCTCCTGTAGGACTGTATTGGATATTTTTGATTGCACACTAGTCACTAACTAGTGTAATGCGTCTAGTCCTATCCTATAGGACTAGTTACTGACTAGTGTGTAATCAAAAATACAGTCCTACAGGAGGTCGCGAGCCTGAAAAGCTCAGTGATAACGTCTCTGACTGCAGCTCTCACTGGGTGACGCGGGTTCGAATCTCAGAAGGGACATCAGTTCCTTCAAGGTTGCAGATACGCCTTGCTGATGAGTGCCAACTAACACGAAACCTAGGTCCAAGGCTCCCTTTGGCCGATTGCCTCCAACCATCTAATACCAACAATTCACAGTGCACTGTAATGGCGAGCCACCTAGCATGGTGACCACATTGCAAACATGACTGATGGAATTCAGTCTGCACCGAAGATAGGACTAGACGCATTACACTAGTTACTGACTAGTGTGCAATCAAAAATTTGACTTTCTCTAAACACCTACGGGAATTTTAATGGATCCACTGTGACTCAGTGTTTTTAGAAATTATTCTACGAAAAATTCCTAACATCAATGTTTCTAGATATTTCCATTTAACAAGATATTTACACTCACCCAGATTAATCGATTCACCCACTGTGTAATACACACTATCTGGAACAATCTCTGTGTTGATTTATACTAATTCGGTGTATGACAGACACTTCTGGATTAAAGGTCAATGAAATGACTCGGTATGTCTGACTGCCTGCCTGACTAACTTATCGTTAGCTTACTGGGTGAGCGTGTGTGTAAGCGAATTTATGCTATAATGACTGTGTAGCACATTGTGCAATAACCAGCCAATAAAATTACACTTGAAATTCACAATTCTTTGATCAATACTTTGGTTAATTATTGTATCACATTACTGACCATTGAGAAATCCATAATGAAGCTGTAACTTAACAAGTCAGTCGCCTATCACAAGTGAAGACTCTTTCCCTGTGACTTGAGTAAAACAATGTCTAGCCTTCATATATTAAGCCATAAGAAAAAGGCAAAAACCACGAAGAAAATTTCCTTTTCGACGACTCATTTTCATGAGCTGTACAATCGTAATTAATATATTTAACAAAGAACTCTCTAGACCAGTCAGATACTGATAAACTTTGTCCTCAACAAAATGTATTACATAATGTAAGGCGCAAACTAGAAGGGATGATTAATTGTAAGTTAGAAAAAAGAGAGAAGTCGGCATGACGTAACAAGTGTGAGATAATGACTAATCAATAAGCTCGTGTAGAATGGAGAGGAACTAGTGGAAAGACGACAATGTGCTTTTCCCGGCCGATAACTGCTACCTTGCCGTAGTGGTCGGGCTTGAATGCCGCAATGACCCAACAAGCTAAACTGGCTGGGACTCATGTCCCTGCAGGTCAT